ACACCTTGCGCTGTGCGCTGTGCCTTTACATTGCCACCCAAGCTGCGTCCAGGACTCTGCGCCTCGCTTCCCAGGGGCCTGGTCAGTGTTCAGCTCTCAGCCGAGAAAGACCCCAGAATACCCAGCCTCGTCCTCTGCTTCCCCTTGGCTTCCGTGCAGCCCACGTCCCTGGGTTTAAACTGTAAAGGATCACAGAAGCCGGCTGCCAAGGCACAGCAGGGTCCGGGCCCCCAGGGGCCCTCGAGAGTTACTGGGTGGAGCCCATCACAGATCAGGGAACGTTGCTGCGTGTGATCTTTTTTAGCCCAACTTTATTCTTAGTAGCCCAGTAACAGGTCAACTTCATTTCTGATTTTCCTGCCATTCAACTGCCTAAAAAGTGGATTTAAGCGTGATACAAGATTGTCAGCTTACAGCACAGAGGAAGGGAACAGTTTGCTGGTGTGGCTGGAGACCGCTGGGCAGGCGGACGTGGTGGTTACTGCCGCAGAAAACCCTCGGTGCCCACAGCCGAGAGCAGGGAGACGGATTTCAAAGCCTGCCATGCGTCATCACTGCGCACAGCTCCCCTGTGGATAACGAGCCAGACCTGAGAGCAATAGCTGTCTTACTGCCCCCGTCCCCTCGCTGGCGGACGCTTGGTGACGCTCTTGGGCACAGTTTGCAGCTCCATCAGACTGCCTTCCAGTAGCTCAGAATCGTTAGTGGACACCTGGACAGTGGGCACGCTCTGCAGAGTCAGCTGAACGCCCCCGTGGCGGTGTGAGGCTTCTGTGAGAGGGCGCAGGAGACAGGGAGAAGTGCACGGCAGCCCATCTCCCGTGGTGGTTCTTCCTGGGCAGTGGAGAGAACAGCAAATTAAAACAATTACGAATTTACCCGGGAAGATCCCCAAGTGTCTGAGTGGATCTGGGCAGCTCTGGAGAAACCTGTTTAAGGCTGCACTTAATCAGTGACACAGATTTGCCCAGGCTTGTGGGCAAGGAGGGGTGTGTGCCCTGTCCTGGCATGAGAAGGCCACAAAACCTACCCCGTAAAACAGCAGCACTTTACACTTAAAGGAAGCAGATTGCTCTTTATGTTAACTGAAGATGAAATGGAGGACTTTCCTTTTTTACTTTTTTTCTAGTACCAGTGTTCGAAAACAAGGCCTTTGTCCTGAGCTATACCTCCAGAATATTTTTACTTTTTATTTTCATACTTGCTAAGTTGCTAAGTTGTCCAGACTGTGCTCAAACTTACAATTCTCCTTCCTTAACCTCCAGGAGCGCTAGAATTGCAGGCATGGGCCACTAGGCCCAGCTCCTGAAGAAAAAGAATAAAAAGACAAATGCTAGGTCAACCTTAGGTGTCTCAGGATGAAACACAGAAAATTTCTCTTACTACATTCACCTGGAGCCAGGTGTGGTGGCGCATGCCTGTAATCCCAGCACTTGGGAGGCTCAGGCAGGAGAATCATTGCAAGTTCAAGACCAGCCTAGGCTGCAAGGTGAGCTCCAGGCCAGCCTAAACTGCACAGGGAGACCCTGTCTCAAAAAGACCAAAACTCCACACATGAAAAAAAAACAAAAACATATACATTCACCTGGATCTGTCACAAAAACTAAGTGCCCCAGAACCAGGTTAATCTCACAAAATGCCACACTATGAAACAGGCCTTCTACAACACCATGCTCGCAGTTGCATGAAGTTCTAAGTCAGGCAGGACCACCCCTAGTGAGGAGTCAGAACTGGGCTTTCTCGCATGTATGATGGGGGTGAGCAGGCGGGCCAACAGCGAGGTCCTCCCCAGGACAGCGGTTAAGGCATGCAGACGCAGACTGTGCATTTGTAGAAACACCAAATGCCACGCCTCGCCCCGCCCAGGCTGTGCAGGGTGCCTGAAACTGCAGCCACCAGCAACTTCCACTGACGTGAAGTAGGGCACGCACCAAATGCAGCTGCAGATGCCTGTGCCTTGCTTTGCAGCACACCCAAGCTAGTTGGCCGATTAACAGGAGACAAAGTAAGTGCAGTGAACGTGACACCAGCGTGTCCACAGAACAACTCCTCCAGTTTTCTAGACGTTGGTAAATCTCCATAGTAAAACCCAAGGACAGAAGAATTCATGTTCTGCAGACCTGAGTCTCGGAACCTGCTGTCCCTGCTTCAGTGGAACTTGTCTCCCGCTGCGCAGGAGTTCTGCGAGCAAGCCGCAAGCATCATACGCCCAGCGCTTAACACCAACACTCGCTGTCTGCTTCTCGACCTCACACAATGTCAAGGTTGTCTCCAGATACATTATTTAAATGCCAAGTCGTAACGCGTATTTATGTGAAACTCTGGAGGTGCAAGATGTTCCCTTCCCTTTCTTTTTGTATTTTCTGATCTGATGAGTTCTTGTAGGGCAGAGTAGCTGCTTTGGATGGCTAACACTTAAATTAGCTCCGTGTGAATCCAAGCATCCTCCTTCAGACGCAGCAGGGCAGTGTGCCGTGACCGAGGTCCCCTAACATTTGTTGCTTGCGTGTTATGTCACTGCCCCCTTCTCAGCAGTTACCTTAAATAAAGGGAAGTTGGAAGGTTCGGTCCGGTCACCCACCATCACAGCAGTCCAGCGGGTCTGTCACCCTCTCCGACGTCCTGTTTGAGGAATACCTGGCTCAGAGGGATTCAAGCTCACACCATAAGGAAGCGGTGGAGCCAATTTCTCCTAGCTTAATTAAAATCTCTTGCTTTGGGCAGTTTTGTCTTAAATCTGCCTGACTAGTTTGTGATCATTTTTTAATAATTTAATTTAATAATTTTGTTTGTATCAGTGGTCTCACATTTGTTTTCTCATACTGTAGATGCACAACAGGAGATGTTATGTTATAAAGATTAAACTTTGCTTTGATGAGGGGATCTAAGCTGGCCTTTTGCTATGGCGCCACTCAGTGCCTCGTGCTTACTGGCCACGTCCTCGTCCTCTGAGCTGCACCCTCCGCCCGCGCTGGCCAGTGCTGATCTCATTCACCTGCTGTCCTGTCCTCTCAGTAGACGAGGAGCATGTCCCAGCAGCAGTCTTCAGCGGCTTCCTGTGACACTTGTGTGAGAACTCTGGGATACCGCTAAGCTAGGAAAGTCTGCCTTTATCACCTCCGCATCTCCTGCTCCCTTGCTATCGAGACAGACCCGCTGGGCAGCTGGACATTTAGGTTTTCTTTGTAATTTTCTGTTCACCATTATTTAAAAGATAAACAATGAACAACATCCAGCGTGCCTGCATCCTGCACCTTGTCACTGGGAGGCCAGTCCCTTCCAGTCCTGTCTGTGATGGAGCAGTTCCAGGACCGTTCCGCCTTGAGGTTGCTGACCAGAGACACTGGGTGGGCAATAATGGAAAGAAGTATGGAACCTTCCTGCCTCTGCAGATGTGGACTCTATATCGTCAACATCCACAGCTTCTGTGTACTGCTGAACTTGAATGAGAGCCCAGAAGGGAAGAGAGGGAAATCCTGCAGAGTTAGGGTGTGAAGACTGTCACGGTCATGCTATGTAGACTAGACAGTATCTGAACTTGTGCCCATTGCCCTGGTTCTGCCGTGCAAAAGCAGATGGGTGATGGGGGCAGAACAGTTATGGGGTGGGAAAAGGGAAGCCTGCAAAATCCCAGTGCGGTACCAAGGGACGTGCCCAAGGCGGGTTAACTTCAGCTCAGTTTGTGCACTGTGACCTGACTCCTGTGTTTGTCACGCACCGACCCTACAGACAGCAGGACCTGGCCAGGTCTTGATCTAAATCCAGAGCCGGGGGGGCTGGGGATTTAGCTCAGCGGCAAAGCACCTGCCTGGCAAGCGCAAGGTCGTGAGTTCGGTTCCCGGTACCGGAGAAAAACCAAAAAAAAAAAAAAATAAAAAAAATTAAAAAATTTAAAAAAAAATAAATCCAGAGCCGGGGCCATGTTTCTTCACTCTTATACTAATTTGGGTTCAAAGTGTGGGCGCTTAACAGGCTCTCTGCTTCCAAAGCCCCAGCCATCTTTGTTTGGGTCACGTCTCTAATGAGCCAGGTCTGTACGTTCCATTTGATTGTAATCCTCTCCTTTGCTGTTAAATATAGACTGCCTACCACTTGTCCACCACCGAGCTTTAGGCCCTGATGAAAATGTCTTCTTGGGCTAGGGACTTAGCTCAGTGGCAAAAGCGCCTGCCTGGCAAGCACAAGGTCATGAGTTCGGTTCCCGGTACCGGAGAAAAACCAAAAAAAAAAAAAAAGAAAAAAAAAAAAGGAAATGTCTTCTTGGATCAAGTCTGATGTCCTAACATGGGGAAGTGTCGCCGGGGTTACGTGGCACCAGGTGCCGTGGGTGGCACATACTGGGCGGACAGGGCTGTGCTGGCTTCTCGTGAACTGAGTGTTTAAGTGTAGTATTTTGAATATCCTAACTGTTCCACAATTAGACCTTTGCTTTGTTCTTTGATGTAAGTGTTTAAAGGAATATTTTAAATCCCTCTAAAGCTGGGTTTTTCAATTACACAGTTGTCATTGATTTTAGGTGAACAATTCTGTGGTCAGAAAATATTAAATATTGCCTAGTATGTTCCACATTCATAAACACTCCTTGCACAATAATGTGACATGCTAAGTGTTACAAAGGAAAATGTTCATTGCATTATTATTAACTCAACCCTGTAATTATATAATTTAAACACTTCCTATTTATTTTTTGTTGACCAGGGATCCTGTAGACTTGTACTTTCTTAACCACTCCCCTAGATCTTTTATCTATTCCTCCTTCAATTCTTACCATCTTCCCTTTATGTGTTTTAATGTAATGCAATCCCATGCACACAGAGGCAATCTTCCTTATTTTGAATTATACCTAATATAAACTTAGTCCTTTATCACATTGGCTTTGAGGTGTCATTTGATCAAAATTAACACTGTGAGTCACTGTAGCTCACAAAGTTAGCAAATATTGTTTTCTTTTCTTTTGCTACGTAGCATTTCACGAGGTCTGTCTTTTCCCTTTGTTCCAGTTTGCCAAGGCACAAGTAACAAGCTTACCCAGTTGGGCACCTTTGAAGACCACTTCCTGAGCCTCCAACGAATGTTCAACAACTGTGAGGTGGTGCTTGGGAATCTGGAGATCACCTACGTGCAGAGAAACTACGACCTTTCCTTCCTGAAGGTCAGTGCAGTGGATCTAGCCAACCAAATGCAACAGAAGCAGATATGAGCAAGGGAGGGCTTTGGCAGCATGTAACTTGAGTGGCCGTTGCAGTTTGAAGGGAAGTGCAGATGCGAGCTTTCTGAGGACCCTTCACTAGCTAGGGTCAAGTTAGGGCTGGAGGAGACACAGAGAGCCCTGAGGCCGGCGTGGCATTCTGTGGCTCCACAGACACACTGTGCTCATGACAGTGACAAAACCTGTAAGGGCTGTGCTTTGCAGCCTGGGCCTGTGGTATGAACCCTGGGTATAGTGCTCTGGTCTCTTGCTGAGGAACAAGACCGAGCCACAAGGGTTTATAACCAGGCCTCGGGATCCCTGCCTGTCTAAAAGCAGGCTTCCAAGTTCGGGTGGTGGTGGTAGTGCCTGGATCAGCTCTGCTTGCCTCTCTTCAGGCAGGTTTTCTCCCTCCGTCCCTATGTCTCTCCCCTCTCTCCTTTCTCTCCTCTCCACCCTCTCCCCTCCCCGCTTTTACCTTTTATCTGTGCTCCTGAGCAGCGCACACTGCCACTGCTACCTTGCTGCAAAAGCAGAAGTGTCACAATACTGTCACGTCCCTTTCCCCCAGCGCCACCCGTGTGACTGCATTTGTGACCGTGTGTGTGACCGTACAGGGAGGTGACCTGGGCCTCTGGATCCATGGTAAACCTGGAGCCCTCCAGTCTTTCACTGAGGAATGGCGTTGTCATGCTTTGTCTTCAGACCATTCAGGAGGTGGCTGGCTACGTGCTCATCGCCCTCAACACGGCAGAGAGGATCCCGCTGGAGAGCCTACAGATCGTGCGTGGGAATGTGCTCTACGAGAACACCTATGCCCTGGCCGTGCTGTCCAACTATGGCGGCAGCAACAGTGCCAACAGAACTGGGCTGCGGGAGCTGCCGCTGCGGAGCCTGCAGGGTGAGCCATGCGTGAAGGAGTGGCGGGGTCCCCTCAGAGGCAAAGCCCCACTCCCCTTGACGACACCTCCGTGAGGGCTGCCTGAGTGCCAGCCCAGCGGTGGAAGCTACTAAGAGAAGGGCAGCTCTGAGCACAGGACGGGGCTCCAGCGTCTCCAGGGCCATGGGGGTGGGAGATGGTCAGACAGAGGCCAGCTGCACTGTTGGCCATGGAGAGCTGTGCACATGGGGTGGAGGAACTCCGGGACGAAGGACAGCAGCAGCCCTCATCCCCAGGGACACAGCACAGGATTCCTGTGTGGTGTGAGACCTGACACACTACCCTGTTCTCTGCGTGCGCTTCCTGCGATAGCATGACTGACAAATTAGGCACAGTAGAGATGAACAGCAGTGGCAAACAATGACAGAGCAACCCTAACAGTCCACTGCAGTGGGAGTTCTGCAGACGGTCTCCAGCGCTGTCTCCCAGAATATCTCACCACACAGCAATGGCTTCACCTGGGGTTTCTGTGGTGATCAGAACTACGGGAGGAGAAGCTGCCAGGGGGAGGGGACTGCCTGACCTAAAGGCCCTGCCCACGTGGGTGACAGCCTCCCGAGTGGGGCTGTGCTCAGAAACTCAGGAACAGGGATGGAGGGTTTCTGGGAGAAGCCTGCACTCTCCTGAGAGGGACAGCAGGAGGCTCCTGGGGGGATTCAGCAGGTGTGGCTCAGAGAGGGAGGCGTTTGACTTCCTTTCATTCCATCTTATCTTATTTGTGTGTGTGCATGTGTGTGGTGCGTAGGTTGGACCCAGGGCCTTCACACAGAGCCACGTCTCCAGTGCTTGTTTTGTTGTTTTTATTTTTAAATTTTGAGACGGTCTCACTAAGCTGCCCAGTAGTAGGCTTGGACTTCCGCTGCTCTCGAGCCTGTCCGAGCGCTGGGATCACAGACGTGCACCACCACCCCGAACATGGGGCATTTGGGCAAGGAAGTCAGTGCTGGGAGGAGTGCTCCTCCTGCTGCGGCGGGTGCCGTGCTCCCTCTCGCAGCCTTGGACCTCCCAGCCCGGCCTTCGCCCCGTGCCCTGCTCTTCCTCAAGCCGGGCCCAGCACTGTGTCCTCGGGGTCGTGGGCATCCCTGAGACTGGGTCCCAGGGCAGGCTCACCCCTGCCCTCCACCCACCCTGGGTGCTCAAGGTGCAGGTGCCCCTCCTGGCACGGGTCCCCAGGGCTGTGACGCCCACCACCCCGCCTGCCCCTCCACGCCGTCCGCACTTCCAGCCCCGCCCAGTCGGCCCAGCACCAGGGCTCTGGCACACCGGCTGGCCCAGCTGCCCTCTGCTTCCTGCCCACACCTGGACTTCCTCTGTGCCCTCTCAGACCCTAGCTCTGGCGAGTCTGGAGCCGCGTGTGCTGCCCTAACCTGAGTGGCATCTGCAGGGCTTCGGGGGTCACTCGGTGCACGCTGGCAGGACCGGGTGTGGGGTGGTGTCTGCGCACCTCTGCACCTCCAGGGCTGCGGCCTGCTCACCGTGCCTCTGTCCACGCAGAGGTCCTGCAGGGAGCCGTGCGCTTCAGCAACAACCCCGCACTCTGCAACGTGGACACCATCCAGTGGCGGGACATCGTGGACAGCAGCTTCCTGAGCAACATGTCGCTGGACCTGCAGAGCCCCCCGAGCGGCTGTAAGTGGGCCCCGAGCTGCTTTGGGGCTCCAGCTGCCCGGGGCAGGGCAGAGAGCACACATTCCACACAGGGTCACGTGGACCTAAACAAAAATAAAATAAGTGTAAGCACATCACCTGCCCCGGGCAAGACTTGGGGACACGGCAGCCGCCCACGGTGCCCCCATAACCGAGGCAGCGAGGCGCACCCCATGGCCTTGAGCAGGCCAGGCTGAGGTCAGGCCTCAGGGGCAGCCGCTGGTGCTGTGAGGCCTGTCCCACCCGCCCATGCTCTGACCACACCAGCTCACACAGGGTGCCCGAAGCCTCCTTGGCCTCCTTCCCAGCTACAGGTGTGGACGCCAGCCAGGACCACGGGCCAACTGGGCGACCCCAGGAGCAAGTGGGCCGGTGTCACCCAAACACCCTGCCTTCGTGCTGCCCATTCATGAGTGGGGTGGGACTGTGAGCGGGCCTGTGGGGACTGGGCCCTTGCCCACCTCCCTAGGGAGTGGCAGACCCTGTCATGCTCACTTGGCCCCACCTGGGCATCGCCCTCCTCTGCCCGTCCCTCACTGCCTCTGGGGGAAAGGGGTCGCCCTTGCTCCTCGGCACCTGCTTCTCATCGCGCCACAGCAGGCCATGGGCCGCACACACTGAGCGCACGCAGGGTCCCGGCAGGCGCCCGCGTGAGTCTCAGAGCCGTCAGCTGGAGCCCTGGCTCCTGCTCGTTGTCTCCTGTTGACGGATTGCAGTTAAACACATTCACGCGTGCAGCTCAGGGGCCTTAGAAGGCTGTCACCGCATCCCCGCACCGATCCCCGGGCCCAGCACCACCATCTTCGTCCTTCTCCACGGACCTGGCGGCCCCAGGGGCCATCAGTCACTTGTCACTCGGTCACTGCGGCTGGGATGTGAGCTGACTGCGATGTTTACCTTTCAGGCCAAAAGTGTGATCCAAGCTGTCCCAATGGGAGCTGCTGGGGCCCAGGAGAGGGGAGCTGCCAGAAACGTGAGTCTGGGCTCAGAGCTGCACCCCCTCGCCCTTCCCCGACAGCGGGGTTCAGGCCACTGTGCCCCCTTTCCCCAGCACCGTGTGACTCCCTGCCCGCCTGGGAGCACAGCCCAGGCCCCATGGCTGCCGTCCTGCACACAGGCAAGCACTGCAGGGAGCTTCCTGCCACAGGGCCAGAGGCCAGCAGCCCTCGGTGACGGGCAAGCTGGCCTGGGCGCCCCCAGCTTAACAAGTGAGAGCCCCTGAGCCCAGTCCCTCTCCTGCACACGGAGCCGCACGCTCCCCGGGGACAGGGCGCTGTGCTGTCTGCATGATCACCACACTACCGTTGTCTCTCTGCCATGGGTACCCACCTGCCAGATGCTCTCTAGAAATGCTCTCTAGAAAGCGTTTTCATACCCACCAAACTTTAGATACAATTCAGCCTACAAAGCATGGTCACCAGCTCACATGCTTTGTGGCCAAGGACCATGACGACATGGTCAGCTTCAACTCTGGCCCTGACCCCAGGCGTAATTGTGACTGGCCATGGGGACTGGGTCCTGTGCGTGCTTTATGCATGGCAGAGAATGCAGTCCAGTCAGCCCCGGTCTGTTTGCTAAGGAGGTCTGAAGTCTGGATTGACCGGAGCAGTTCTCCTAAGCAGTTAGAAATAGGAAAGCACAGTGCCAGGAGGAAGGCGGTGAGGGTGGTCTAGCCTTAAGGAACGTCATGAGGAAGGTTGTGAGGAAGGCCTGGAGGAGGGTCATGATCTGAAGGAAGGTCCCGCACTGGGAAAGTCACGAGGAAGGTCCTCAGGAAGGCCATGAAGAACAAGGCCCTCGGGAAGTTCAGAGGAAGGGCCTCTGGAAGGTCGTCAGGGAGGGGTCAGGAAGGTCATGACTGGTTGAGTCTGACTGAATGTGATACCTGAACCCCGAAATCCACCCTGCCCCGTGGTTCGTCCGCCAGCGCCCGACTCAGCTCGCAGGTGACCGCCCTCTCCCCTTGGTTTCAGTGACCAAGATCATCTGTGCCCAGCAGTGCTCGGGGCGCTGCCGCGGCAAGTCCCCCAGCGACTGCTGCCATAACCAGTGTGCAGCCGGCTGCACCGGGCCCCGGGAGAGCGACTGCCTGGTAAGACCCCGGCCCTGAAGGGACCCGGCCCACCACGCTGGCCTCACGCTCGCCCTGGCTTATTATCTCCAACAGAAGCTTATTGTCTCTGTGGGCCTTGGGCACCACACACAGCTATAGACCAGGGACATCCTGGAGGTCCTGGCCCCCCAGGGCTGCTGGGTAGGATTCCGAGGGTCAGCACCTGGGTGGCAAAGCTCTTCCAGGTTCCAGAAAAGAAGGTCAGTCCTCAGCTGGACTCCAGAAGATTCTATGGTTTCATGGAGGGGAAGGGCACACCTGGGATCCCAGCACTCTGGGAGGCTGAGGCAGGAGGACTGCAAGTTCAAACCCACCCTGGGCAACAGCAATTTCGTGAAACCCTGGCTCAAAAATTTAACAAAAATGAAAAAGGCCTGGGGATGAGACACAGTGTGAAGGCCCGGGATTCAATCCCAGAACGAAAAGATTCGAACCGGGGGGCTGGGCTGCCTCTACTGCACAGCAGGAAGGAGATTTGCGTGGCTCCTTGGAGAGTTACACCTGCCGTCGGCCCGGCTCCGCAGCGCCCTCCTTCCTAACAATGAGTAAATTCTGTGGTGCGGCTCAAACTTTGTCAGGGAGCCCAGCGTAAACTGAGTGTAAACGTAAGACCACTCCACAGCTGCTGCCAGAAAGAAAGAGCGCTCCTTCCTGTGTGCAGTCAGCTGAGACACTGACAGACCCTTGCCTGTGAGTCATAGCAGCTGGGGCCAAGGAAATCGCACCTCCAAGAGTTTTCCGACTTCTCGGAAGCACTTTCTGGGCTTCCCTGAGCCTGATCCCGTGCCCCGAGTCTCCTGGGCTTCCGGTCTGACACCTGAGCAGCACGGCACCTTCGTGCCCAGGCGCTAGCGTCTTTGTCCCCTGCCCAGCGTGTCTGTCCCTCCGACACAGGTCTGCCGCAAGTTCCGAGACGAAGCCACCTGCAAGGACACCTGCCCTCCACTCATGCTCTACAACCCCACCACCTACCAGATGGACGTCAACCCCGAGGGGAAGTACAGCTTCGGCGCCACCTGCGTGAAGAAGTGTCCCCGTGAGTCCCCGAGCGGCAGCCCTGCCCCGGGCAGTCTGGGTGGCCGTGACCCTGTGCTCCTGCCGAGGGGACTGTTGCTCACTACGCGAAGTCCTCTTTGTCTGTTCTAGTCTGGACGGCTGGAGGGGCGCCCACCACTCAGACCCCACCCTCCATGCCGCGCTCGTGGTCCGTGGCCGTGGCCTGGCTGCACAAACCTGTGCCTCTGCTCCAAGCCCACATGGGCCCGCCGTGGCCTGTGAGGAGCCAGAACACACAGCAGCAAACCCATCTCCTGGAATTCACTGCTCCCCACAGCTTACTGAGCTCCCCCTGGTCAGGCCAGGGCCTAGGTTCTCGCAGGGCACAGGCCCGATGTCAGCTGCGCAGGAGCGGGAGCTGGACTGTGCACTTCTTACAGAAACACAGTGTGCAGTGAACACGGCACTGGTCTTCCCGGAACCACCCGCCGGGCCAGGACAGCCTGTGTCCTGAACCCGGGCCTGGGCCAGAGCTGGGCCGCTGCTCTGCCCGTCACTCCGGTTCGCTGGGCTGAGCAGGCTCCCAAAGACCTGACCCCAGCGGAGCGGATCCACGGCGTGGCTGAGCCCCTAGGGGACTCGGGGAAGTGCTGTTTGCTTCCTCCTGGTGCCTGTAGGGAAGAGTGGTGTGGACGACTCCTAAACAGGGACTGTGAGTGATGTCGAGAGCTGTAGGAGCCAACCTTGATTTCTAGAGGGGAGATTGGGAAAAACTATAAAAGACCAGCAGTGAGGAGGAGATTATTTTGTCCTGCTGGAGCTGTAGATGAAAAAATTTAACTGTGCAGAAAAAAAGTCCACAAGTGGAATAATCAGCCCTTGTGTGCCAAAAGGCAAACAAGATACAGAAAATGTTGCTACACTGCCCCAGAGGAGACCCTGTGAGGAGGGCACTGGACGACCCAGGAAACCATGCAAACACTCAAGGCCCAGGCGTCAGAGCAGCCCTCATCACTCAGGGCAGGGGCATTCAGGCCCCTGGGGCATGCAGAATCAGCGGCCTGCCCCTGTCCCAAGGGACACTGGCCATGGGGGAGCAGGGAGACCCTGCTCTGAGTGCAGCCACTGCGGGGTGGGACGGTGCTCAGGCCCAGCTGTGGACAGGGCCCAGCAGGCAGACCCTATTGAGACACCCCAGCTACAGCCCCAGCCCTGGGCATGTGTTGCCTGGCCTGGGGCCGCCTTTGCCATCTCCCGCTCCCCTCCTCCTCCTCCCCCTCCCCTCCCCTTCCTCCCGGCCCCCTACTCTGCAGCGGTCCCTTGCCTTTGTCTCTTCATGCTGTGTCCTCCGGGTGACCCCAGCGCAGGGCCACTGTCTCCTTCACCACGTGTGGGCAGAATGGGAAGACTTCTGTGGGAACAGGGCCACCTGCTGCCCGCGCCACTCTCTCTGCCCCTGCAGGGAACTACGTGGTGACTGACCACGGCTCCTGTGTCCGAGCCTGTGGCCCCGACAGCTACGAGATGGAGGAGGACGGCGTGCGCAAGTGCAAAAAGTGTGAAGGGCCCTGTCGCAAAGGTAGGGGCCTGCGGGCGAGGCCCGACCCTCCTGACCCTGTTCTGGGACTCTTGGCCAGCGCCGGATGGACACACCACTCTTCTAACTGAAAACCCACAGTGTCTTTTTTCCTGGTACTGGGGTTTAAACTCGGGGCCTTCACACTGAACTCTATCCCCAGCCCTTTTCATGCTTTCATATAACATCTCTAAGTCACTAAGTTGCCCAGGCTGGGCTCAAACTGGAGATCTTCCTGCCTCAGCCTCCCAGAGTGCAGAGATTACCAGCGTGCACTGTCCATTTTGCCTTAGGACAGAAGCTAAAGCTGTGACAGTGGCTCAGGGCATCAGAAAGTCATTGTCCAGGGAGCTCTGTGGGCAGGGCCATGGGAGCAGAGCAGAGACAGGGACAAGCGTCGGCGGGGCAGTCAGACCAGGGGACCCGAGGGGCTGTGGCAAGGACACAGGGTGGCGCCTGCTCACACACCACACACCTGGAGCCTGCCAGGCCCTGCCGGGCTCCCCCGGGGTCTGCCGCGTGACTGTGTGACCTCATGGAATGGAGGCGTGTGGCAAGGGTTCTCGCGGCAGGAGCCCCTCCCCTCCGCTGCCTGGGAGCCCCGTTGTTCCAGCTCGGCCGGGTGAGTGAAGCCAGCCTTTCTGTCCTCAGTTTGCAATGGAATAGGAATTGGGGAGTTTAAAGACACTCTTTCCATAAACGCCACGAACATCAAGCACTTCAGGAACTGCACGACCATCAGCGGCGACCTGCACGTCCTCCCCGTGGCCTTTCGGGGGTGAGTAGCACCGGCCCCTCCCGCAGAGAAGCAGCCTGCGTTGTTCCCCCGCGGCTGGCGGCGGGTGACACTCTGCTGTCCTTGCAGGGATTCCTTCACGCGCACACAGCCCCTGGACCCCAAGGAGCTGGACATCCTGAAGACAGTGAAGGAAATCACAGGTCCGCGCACGTCCCCAGCCTCCGTGGAGCTCAGCACTCTCTAGGGAGAGCTTGGCATGCACTTCCTTCTCCCCGACCAAGACCCTGCCCTGAAATCCCACCGTTCAGGGTTAAACCGCGGATAGTTTCAAAAACGCAGTTTCCCCCTCAGGTATGAACTAACAAGGAAGCCCAGGCTGGGAACCTGTGCGGTCCCTCACTCTCCAGCCCAGGCTGGCGCCTGTGTGCCCTGGCCCCGGCCCCATCAGCCACAGAGGGAGCAAGGGCAGAGGAGGGCAGCGTGGGCTCTCAGGACTTGGAGAGCGGACAACCGGCCCCTGCCTGGCACGGGGCTGCCTCTGTGTGCATCCCCATGGAGAGCTCGTTAGACTGGGAGACGGGCTGTTTGGGGGCTGCAGATGAATAAGGAGAACACTCAAAAGTCATTGTAACTGCTGCTCCGTAACTGGCAGCTGTAACCAGAGAGAGAGCCGCTCACACGACAAAGAGCACGGTGAATGCTTAAACTCTTAAAGTGTGTTACAGTGAGGACACGCTGCTGTGAATCCCCCCCAACCCCCGCTCCTTCCGACAATCCTCCCTTCCCCTGCCCCTTCCCGCAGCAGCCTGGAGTCCTCTTTCCAGAGTGTCCTCAGCCATGCTGTCCTCCCTGCCTTCATGTTCCGAGGGTCTCTTTCTTGGACATTTGACTTTGGGGAGACCCAGCAGTCACACGGTGCCAGGCCTGGTAAATGAAGTGGGTGAGGACCCAGCGCCATGTTTACAAGCTGCCTTTCCATTGGCTGGCGCTCTGCGGGGACGTTCGCCATACTTTCTGTCACACTTTGCAAAGACACTCAGGAGAGAGGCCTCCAGAGCTGCCACGGAGTGGAAGAACGATGGGACGAGCGTGTTTGAAGCGAGGAGGGGTTTTGAGGGGCACCATGGCAGTGTCTCGGGCTGTAATACATTTATTTAAAGCACTCACTGCGTGTTTGGATCGCTCCACATGCAAAGCCTCCTCTGTGAAAGGCAGCAGTATGACGGGCAGCGTGGTGGGAGCTGAGGGTCAACGTGGCCGGCTGGCAGTGTGGACCCCGCGGAAGGTGTGGACCGCGGGAGGGTTGTGCTGACTGGCACTGCACGTGGAAAGGACAGACGAGCCCGGCCCCACCAGATTCCCCGTTCCTCCCCACATGACCGTCTCAGCAGAGTTCCCCCGTCCACACTGTGTCTGAACCCTCTTCTGCCTTCCAGGGTTCTTGCTGATTCAGGCCTGGCCTGAGAACAGGACCGACCTCCACGCGTTCGAGAACCTGGAAATCATCCGCGGCAGGACTAAGCAGCAGTAAGTTGACCACAGCGAAGCTGGCTGGCTCTGTGTGTCTTTTTATTTTGGAGTTAGACTCGCAAGGAGTCGCGGCAGTAGTGCAGACTCCTGGTGCGTCCTCCCCGCTCCCCTTTCATGACTGTCCGGCACACCCAGGCCAAGGGTCCTTGAAGGACCTAACAGCACTGCTCGGCACTCACTGTGTCCCTTGCCTGCATTTGTCCGGTCTCCGCGTCCAGCCAGGCCCCCACTGCACTGAGCTCTTGAGCTGCACCGGTTCTGTGTCTCCCCCTGCGCTCTGTGGCCAGGGGGCCGGGGCGTGTAGAGTGACCCTGTTTCTGGCTGATGTCTCCCCGTGCAGGTGAGGCTCTGCACACCCCATCAGGGAGTGGAGAGATTTGTTACCACTAGATTTCCCCCAAGATTTCCACTGTTCCAACTGAAAGTGAAATAGGGAGAGGGAGGTCTTTAGGTCAAGCCTGCCTCAGAAACTGTCCGTCACGAGCACTGTCCGTCATGACCACATGCCCCGAAGGGCCAAGTCATTCTGTCCAGTGTGAAAGAAAATCAGAAGCCGCACGCAGCAAAGAGCCGTTGCTCTCCTTGCACCGTGCTGGCCGAAAGCCTCTGATGCTGAGCACGAGCTGCTGCCTTCCTTGAAGGCCTTTGCCCGGGCCCTCGGGATACCTTCTCTGCCCTGGCATGCAGACCTGAGGGCTCACAACAGGGTTTTCAGACAGCTGCTCTGGGCACTCCTGATGCTGTCAGGGATTTGAGCAGGTAAGGGCTGTCTGTTTTCCCACTTGAACAAGAAGTCCAGTGATACCAGTCTCCCTGCCTAGGATGACGGCTGCTTCCATGTGTCTCCCCCAAGCCCCACTCTGCCCTGTGGGAGGACCCAGCCAGCCCTGTGCCATGGCGGCCCTGGGCACGTGCACACAGGCTGTGACAGAGGTTAGGATGTGTTCTCAGTGTCCAGCAAAGTAAATAATGGCATGAGGGGTGTGCTGCACCTCCCAGCCTGCCTCGGAGCTGAAAGGAGCTACCTGCACAGGGCGGGCAGTTCCCCTCCAGGCCCCACAGCTGGAGGCGGCCTCCCACAGGCCCGGTGCGTGGCTGGTGCCGCCGAGGCCGGGCGTGGCCTTTGTCCCGGGCTCCCTTCTCAGTCGGTTCTCTTCCCCTCTCAGTGGTCAGTTTTCCCTCGCCGTCGTTGGCCTGAACCTGACGTCCCTGGGACTGCGCTCCCTGAAGGAGATCAGCGACGGAGACGTGATCATCTCAGGAAACCGGCACCTGTGCTACGCCAACACCATCAACTGGAGGAAACTGTTCGGGACTTCCAGTCAGAAAACCAAAATTATAAACAACAGAAACGAAAGAGACTGCAGTGAGTAGCCAGCGTCCCACCGGCCTCGCGAACAGCCCTGCGGGTCATTTATTCTGAAGTGGAACAGTCAGGGCTAAACACGTCAGTCACGTTCTCCGTTCCTTAAGAAGCAAGTTGACATTTGCACAGGGAGACTCACCGGCCCTCTCCAGAGCGTGCGTCCTCGTTTCGCAGGACAAACGGCCTGAGGTTTGAGCTCCCGGTTGCTTGTAATTTAAAGGACTAAGTTCAGTTCTGGTCGTTCTCCGTGATACTTTGCACGGAGGTTGCTCCCTGCTCGCGTCAGCCTGTGATGACAACGGTGGGCGTGCACACCCGCACACCCAGACAGGCGGGCGGCCTCCACCTCACACTTTCGGTTCCGATCTGAGCAGTTCGGCAGCCCTTACAGCCAGTGGGTGCAGCAGGCTCTGGGTGGAGATCCTGCCCACTGGGAGAGGCTGACCTGAGTTCCAGGGCTGGTCGGTCCCTCCCAGGCTTGTGAGGTGGCCAGTGCCCTTCCTCTCTGAAGACTTGGGATTCCTCACCCATGAATTGGCTTTGATGGGCTGGGAAGGGTGATGCACCCCAGGGAGGCTGAGGCAGGAGGATCACAGTTTGGAGCCCTGCCTGCTCCAACTTCCCAAGACTCTGTCTCTGAAGGTTTGTGTATGGGATGGGGAACAGGAGGGAGCTGAGATCCAAGGCCCCAGGTTCTTTGCCCAGGGAAGAAAAAGGCTGTGATGATTCCCTTGTCAGAGTGCTACTCAGTTCAGTGGAGTTCCATGTGTGGTGCCTGGCAGGTAGCAGCCAGGTCCGGCCTGGAAGGAGGGCCTGCCGTGACCCAGGCCTGCGTCTTCGGGGCCTTATGACGGTGCCACACACAGCTGGGAGGGTGTGGTCTCTTCAGCCAGGCCTATGGCGCCTGACCCTGTCCCCTCTGTGTCTTCCAGAGGCTGAAGGCCACGTCTGCCATCCGCTGTGCTCATCTGAGGGCTGCTGGGGCCCCGAGCCCCGGGACTGCGTCTCCTGCCGGAATGTGAGCCGGGGCAGGGAGTGCGTGCCCAAGTGCAACGTCCTCGAGGGGTGAGACCCATTCCTTTGTCCCCACAGCCCTCTCTCGCCCGGTCATTTGCAGGGTTGCTGAAGGTTCGCAGCGCTCAGGCAGACTCTGCCTGTCTTGTTGACCGTGGCCTGCGTTAGACTTTTGAGACACTGCTCATCACTATAGGAAAAAAGCACTTCTATTTATTACTTACACCTGCCCAACAGTTTATAAAATCTCTTTAATTTTTCTAACTCGTGCAAAGCTGCAGTTGCCAGAGCGTGGTGGGCACCCTGGGTGTCTCCATCCGCTAACACAAAGCCGTCTCCTGCTCGGTTCCGTTCTCTGTGCCTCCCTGGTGCAGCTGGACACCGAGTGATGCAGGCAGCCATGAACTGCAGCAGGGCAAAGGGAGAAGTAACGCGCTTGGTGCCTGTGGAGTGGAGTTGCGATCAGTAAAGAGGAAAGTCTGTGGACACTGAAAATCCCAGCACTGATGTGGAGTTTTCCACAACTAAATGCATTGGAAAGTCGAATGGTAGAGTAGAGAGAGGAAGAGGCAATTCTAAAACATACGTAAGAGAATCATAACTTGGATGGAGGGGCACCTTGGGCATGACAGGGGGCGGTGGGCATCTGCCTTTCTGCCTGGATCCGCAGTGTCCAGGCGCAGGCTGGAAAGCCCAAGTCACTTACGTGCTGACAGGCTCAGAACAGTCTGGGTACTTGACCAAGCTACCTCGGCTTCAGGGGAGGAGTATCCCACTGCAAATGGACATCCCCATTTTGAGTTTTCAAGTGTCCTTTGAAATATGAGGAAATTAAAATAACCAGACCCAGAAGCTGGGTCTCTCTGTCAGCATGGAGAGCCCTGGTATCAGCGGCACCTGCTCCCTCTGCAGCCTGGCCACTCAGCAGTGACCCCAAAACACCGCTGTCTCTTTTGGTCTTGTTGATGCCCTTTGCCTAAAGGACGACTCGAGGCGCAGGTCCCTGCTTGGCGTGAGGGCCTTCAGTTAATTTCCAGGCAGATTGATCTAGGTATCGTGAGGCAGCTGAAAATTTAACAAGAAAAATGCACCTTGCTCTACACATCTTGACGAAGGCTGTGAAAATACTATGAGGAAGAACTTTCCTCTGTTCTGAGGAATAAGCCCTGCAGGAGTTCAGCACTCCACCTTCCTTTTCCGTCCTGTTCTGCAGTAGCCTCTTCCCTCCCCCTCACCTAAACATCTGTGAGTCTGTGACTAGAGGGAGGGACGCCTGCTCAGGACTTTTGTCGTTTTTGTGTTGCTTGCCCAGTGTACGGAAACAGCCACGGCAAATGCAGGGCGGTGTACGGCTGTAACGGGCCTTACGTGTTAGTTCCTCGGGCTGAGCAAGGACCCAGTTAATAAAACCGCACATTACGCCACAGCGCAGTGCCGGAGTCCTAGCTCTGCGACCTTTGCCCGGAGGGGCTCTGAATTGGGGGAGAGGCGCTCTGCGCTCCCTGACTCTCGCCCGCCTGTCTGGAAGGGCTAGCGTGACAGTCCCCTCTGCTTCCCAGGGAGCCCAGGGAGTTCGTGGAGAATTCCGAGTGCATCCTGTGCCACCCAGAGTGCCTGCCCCAGGCCAGGAACGTGACCTGCACCGGCCGGGTAAGGGCCCTCCGCCACCTCGGCCGGGACGTGGGTGAGCCTCCCCTGAGCCCCTCAGGAAGGAGTCTGGGCAGCCGCTGCGGGGGACAGCCGCAGGAGGGAGCCGAGGGCACAGAGCGGCGAGTGAGGTGTGAGGAGCCCTCCTGTGCCCCACCCACACCCGGCTCCCAACGGCGCTCTTCCCATCCCGCGCCTGGGCGGTGCCGAGGCCCGTGGTGGTCAGCTTCCCGTCTCTGACATCCGCTGCCTTGGCTTACCCACCTCGTCAAATCCCATCAAAGGCAGAGCACCACTGAAGTTAGTGGAGACTTTTGCAAAACTCCTACCAAAGCTTAAATTCAGCTTGATTTCTGCGTGTCTAGGATCAGTCATGTGAGGAACACGCGTGAGCTCAGGTTCCTCTGGCACCAGACGGCCTGTGTCTTGAACGTCAGTATCACGCGTGGAGAGCTCTGTTCAGGTCCTGGCTTGGCAGCCACACCTGAATCCACCAGTGGACAGCGTTCCTCAGCTGTCTCGTGTCAGGAGGGTAACGGGGCTGTGTTTGCGGGGCTAGGCTGCCGCTGCAGCCAGTTACGAAGGAAACCGCTGGTCCCTGGTTTGCACGGTGACGTTTTCGTCATCACAGTAAACTAACTGGTGATGCCAGCGTTGCCTCCAGCCGGTCTGGTCTGAGGCCGTTCGGCCTGACAGTGGCTCCCTGCGCCGCTGTCTCGTGGCTGGGACACAATGCCAGGCACCCGTAACTTGCAGGAGGAGAGGGCAACTCTGGCTCCCGGGCCCAGTTCTTGGCTGGCCGGCTCTAAGCCAGAGTGCATCACAGAGGACAGCTGCTCCCCTCACAGTGGCCAGGAAGCAGTGAGAAGGGAGGAGCCAGGAGGGAGGAGCGCCCCCCAGGTCACCCCAGTGCCGGCCTCCAGCCAGGCCCCGCTCCTAACCGCAACTCAGCTGTGACCCCCAGGATGCAGGGACCGCCCCAAAGCCTGGCTGTGATCACAGGAGGCTCAGAGACGCCTAGATCCAAGCCACCACAGTGGGCTGGCAGAGGGGGCATGTCACCAACGGGCAGCTGCCTGCGTGGCAGAGAGTGAGAAGCAGCCCCATGGCCCGAGGCTTTTGTGCTGGGCTTCTGCTGGGTGTAGCAGGAACAAAACTAAGCAGAGAATCGTGGGCTGGGGCAGTAGCTCGAGGGTAAAGCACACACCCAGCGAGAGTGGAGCCCTGGGTTTGATCCCCAGGACCACAAAAATAAATGAAAGAAGTACACCAACCAAGGTGGCTGTGACGAGGAAAGGTCTCCACACAAAAGACCAAGTGAAGGCAACACAGTGTAAAAATACCTTTTTCTTCTTTTCCGTCCTGCAGATTCAACCCAGAACCTTCACATGAGCTATGTCCCGAGCCCTTTTTTTCTGAGACAGGGTCTCACTAAGTAGCTAAATTGTCCAGGCTAGTCTGGAGCTTTGATCCTCCTGCCTCAGCTTCCCAGAGTCTGGGGTGGCTGAACCGTTTCTTTTACATCTGTGTACATTATGTGCATTTAAAGCCAGGAGGACTTCGTGTTCAGATACTCGTAGCGGTTGAATCAAGCAAGCGCACTCCTAGAACGGGTCTTCTACTCTGGGAATTGCCTTACCATCCCACTTTTCCCTCATACAAATTGTCAAATGAAGAGCAAACCCTGTTTCGCAGAGAAAGGGGCAAGCTCAGACTCCCTCCCGTGCGCCGTGCAGGGTCCCGACAGCTGCGTGCAGTGCGCTCACTTCATCGACGGCCCTCACTGCGTCAAGACCTGCCCAGCGGGGATCATGGGGGAGAACAACACGCTGGTGTGGAAGTACGCGGACGCCAGCCGGGTGTGCCGCCTGTGCCACCTCAACTGCACCTACGGGTGAGTGGGGCCCGGCGCCCGCCCCGGAGCCCGCAGAGCACAGATGCGTGCCCACGCAGGCCGGCACCCAGGGTCCCAGCAGTGGCTTCCAAGCCGTCTGAGTGGCCGCTGCGGGTGCGCGGGCCCCGTGCTGCGGCGGCCACAGGACAAGCTGGGCACAGGTCTAGGTGCTGGGGAACAGCGCACCCCTCAGCTGTGTCGCAGTGCTGAGCGAGGTCCGGACACCAGGCTGGAGCAGGCCGTCCGCGGCCCTGAGCCGCCCTGTCCGTCCCCTCTCCTCGGGCCGCGCTTGCGCACGGGCTTCCAGGCTCCCGGCTGGCTCCTGCCCAGGCTCCTCCTGAGTCCCAGGACCCCCTCCTGCCCTGTCCCAGCTCAGGAGCAGCCCACAGCTGACTGTTCAGGGCGAGGTGCCCGGCCGCAGGGGCTCTGCGCGGTCACCTTGCCCTCGTCTGCCTGGCCCTGCGTCCACTCACATCCTGGCCCCCTCCACCTCCCTGTGCACCCCGACACCTGCAGCCGGCTGGGGGCCCTCTGTGCCACTGGAGTGCACAGTCTGTGACACACTGCCCGGGCCCGCCAGCTCCCCCCGGCCAGGGCAGCCTGTCCGTGAACAGACACAGCCGTGTGAACACACGATGAAGTCCAGATCAGCCGACTGCGAGGCGCGGGCCCCGGTGGTGGGGGCATCTCTCCCTCACGTGACTTGTGATTGAAAGTCTCCACAAACGAAGGCTGCAGGAGGTGAGAAAACGTGCATCTTTCTCATTTCCTGCAGATGTGCCGGGCCAGGTCTGGAAGGCTGCGCCACAAACGGGTGAGGAGCTCAGCTCTGGTTCTGCTGGATCTCATCCAACACGCCGGAAGCCTTTCCAACCGTCTGTCCTGCGCCATCGTCCTCCCCTCCTCTTCCACCTCCTCTTCTTCTCCCTCTTTTTCCTCCTCCTCTTTCCTCCTCTCCTTGTCCTTCTTCTAGCAGTGGAGATGGAACACAGGGCCTCACACTGAGCTGCATCCCCAGCCCATTTTATTTTTATTTTGAGATAGTGTCTCTCAAAGTTGCCTGGGCTGGCCTAGAACTTGCCAACCTCCTGCCTCAGCCTCCACGTAGCTGGGATGATGGGCTTGTGGGTGTCCAGCTCTCAGGCTGTCCCCTAGGCCTCCTCAGGTAACATCTGACCTGGTTCCTGGGTAGAAGGACTGGGAGGAGATGCGGGCTGCTCCTGGAGCAGCTGCCGCGGCCTCCCCACTGCTCTTCGTGAGCACAGGCACGGCCACTGGCACCAGTTTTCCTCGGCCTTATTTTAGTCTTCTCTTCTCCTGGCTTCTCCGTTTTCCCACTAACCTGGGTATTCCTGAGACAGGAGATTAGGGCACGGCAAAGCTGGCTGGGAAGTGGGTGAGACCTGTTGATTACAAAATTCCGGGACACGTGGGCAGAGCAGGGCAGTTCTCTGCTCCTGAGAACTGGAGCAGGTTTTCGATGGTGCCAGGAGGAGTGGTAACACCAGAGGACGTCCACACTGAGCCCGTGCCCCGTGCGCTTGTGCGTGGTGGGCACCCTCAGGCTGCAGGGTGTGCTGCTTCTCCTACTTTTGCTTGGGCCAAACTCATTCTGCAGAGCTGGCTTCTTTTACTGCCTGTAGAAAACTTTGCTCTTGCTGTGCTTGTCTTGACCAGTTCTTTGCTCAGAACAAAAAGAACCTAGAAACCACCCCCAGGAGGAGACTCCAGCACCCTATCACCCATTAACAGTCCCACCACAAACCTGGGTCCAGCAGGCTTCTTGCTGGGTGGCAGGCAGGGCGATTCTGTCCTCGCTCCCTCTGGAAACGTGCTGTCAGAGAAGGCCAGTGGGCCTCCTTCGGCATCTCACTTTGGATCCACCTGCCACTGTGGCTGGACACGAGGCACAGAGGAAAGCAAAATTGCGTTTCCTGTTCATGCAGCAGGAGAGAACCCTCACCAGCAGCTGTGCCACACGAGGAGTTGTGTGCGAGACCCTTGCCGTTTCTGACAACTGTCCCGCCAGCCCCCTCCCCGCCACTGCTGGCTCTGTCTGCACCTCTCACTGGTTCTTCCCCAGCTGCAGCCCACCACGCTCGGCCCACAGCTGGTGGCGGCAGCTGCTTACACCCGGCCTCAGGTGAACCCGAGAGAAGTGAGGCAACTCCTCAGCCAGGGCCTCCTTCCTGCCCGGCCCCACGGTGCGGGCGAGGGTGCCCAGAAACACCTCCGAGCCCCGCACTCCAGACTGACCTGCGGCGAGGTTTCCCATCACATCCACACTTGGACACAGCAGTGACCACTTCTTGTTCAAATTTACTCTTTTTAATTTTCTTCTCCTCTTTTCAGTTACTCAGTCTTACTGCTGTGGCTCCCCGTGGAACTCTCTCTATAGCAAATTATTCCTTCTGTCTTCCAGCATTCCCTTCAGAATAGTAAAAGCTCATTAATCCAAACTGTGGTAGCCGGGGGTGTGGTGTATAGTGCAAGAGATGACCTCTGCCCCCCGGGCACAGAAGAATCTTGTGAAGTGTTGTTTTCGTGACGCAGCTGACCCACCTAGGAGGGATGTGTGTGCTCCCTGCTACCTCCATTATATGCAAACAGTGCTGCTGACTAAACTTTGCCCTTAGCATTTCTACTGGAAAATAGGAGTCAGTTTGCCAAGCATTGAAATGGGACTGTTAGCAATGATAACCCTCCACCCTGCACCCAGCGAAAGGGGTGTGGGCTCATTTCCTGGGGACTCCCAGTTCAGGCTTCCTGACAGAGCCCGAAGCTTGACTTCTGAGCTTGCCTTCTTGAGACTGGCACTGCGTGACGACATCACACGGGACCACGGTGCTGCTCCTCACAGCTCAGTCCCAAGGCGCTGCAACCTCGGGGCCCGTCCTGGAGGCCTCTGGGCTGGCGAGGTCTCTGTTGCCCGCCCGGCTTGGAGACGGTAACTGGCTGGGCTCCTCCATTGCTCGGCCAGCTCCAGGAGAGAACAAAGTAAAAGTCACATAAAAGCACTGTGCAAGCTGAATCATTTTAAATTACATGTTTCTCAGTCCGTAGATTAAAAGTAGGCACCCTGTGGACAAGGCCCCGTGAGACGGCGAGGTCTCACCTTCCTCCCCCAGGCGCTGTGTGCGCTGCTGTCCGGGTTTGAAGTGATGGCGCCGTGCCAAAGGTGCGGGAACCGTGTGAGCGTCAGCATCACAGGCTGCCTCTCCCCTCGCTGCAGGCCCAGGATCCCGTCCATCGCCACGGGGATCGTGGGCGGCCTCCTGCTGCTGGTGGTGCTGGGCCTGGGCATCGGGCTCTTCATGCGGCGGCGCCACATCGTCCGCAAGCGCACCCTGCGCCGGCTGCTGCAGGAGCGCGAGGTGAGCTGGCTGGAGCCCTGCCCGAGCGGGCGGCCTGCTGGGAGCTCGAGTGCAGTGTCTCCTGTTTCACAGGGCTTCGGTGGGTTTCCTTTACTAACAAATTCCCGAGACAGTGGACCTGCAGAGAGGGCAGGTTTAATCAAGCCGTTGCTCTGGGCCTGTGGAGTGTGCGTGGCCATCAGACCCACAGCCTCGGTGCTGGGAAGCAAGCAGAGAAAGCGGGTTCCCCGTCCCTTCCCCTGCACACCCACGGGACCCGAGGGCCACCCACGGGAGGGGCAGCGCCTGCTAGGAGCACGGCGTGCCCATGCCTGTCCAGACCCTGCGGACAAGATTGCATTGCTGGGAACTGCACCAGGAGACGGCCTGTGTCTGCTTGTCCTCAGGGTTACACGCGGCTGCCTCAGGCCCAGTGAGCGCCAGCGTTCCAGGCTGGGTCGTGCGAAGCGTTCTCGCAGCCAGGCAGCTTCAGCTGCAGCAGGGGAGGCTGGGGCGGGGGCTGCTGGCTCCGGGGAGGGCTCTGCGTGAGCCAGGGCCGCTCTGGACGGGCCACTGTCCACGCAGTGTCTGCTCCTTCTCGGGCTCTGTGGTTGGCGATGCCCTCCACACTGCCCTCAGCCGGCACCTGCCATCTGCACATGGGAAACCTTTGTCCCTGGGCAGCGGGCACCTGGGTGCCGTGGGCCCTGTGGGCAGCAGAGGGGCCACAGGATGAGTGTGCCCCTCCAGGTCTCCTGTCCCGCTGGGCAGCGTGGAAACTGAAGTGAAACCGCCCGTGTTGGGTGTGCTGTTCTACTGTGCAGTCCTGCGTCAGGGTCTTTCCACCACATTTTATACATCTGTCTTACTGTGGTTTTTTTGTTTGTGTTACAGTACTAGGGTTGAGCCCAGGACCTTTGCACTAAGCTACGTCCTCCACCCTTCATTTGTTTTTGTATTTATTTATAAATTTAGAGACAAGGTCTCACTAAATTGGGAAGCCCCTCAGGCTGGGCCCACACTTGTGATCCTCCTGCCTCAGCCTCCAGAGTGTTGGGCTAAGAGGCATGCTCCACCGTGCCTGGCATGTCAGGCTCCTCAGAGAAGGCTCCATTCTCCTTGGCACAAGCATCTAAAACCGCACACCACTGCACCTGGTGCCTCACATCTCCCCTTCCCCTCACAGCTGGTGGAGCCCCTTACCCCCAGTGGAGAAGCCCCCAACCAAGCCCTCCTGAGGATCCTAAAGGAGACAGAGTTCAAGAAGATCAAGGTGCTGGGCTCCGGAGCATTTGGCACGGTCTACAAGGTGGGTCCCGGGGGCCCTTGGGGCAGGGGGCCACAGGCCCTTGTGTCCCCCACATGAATGGGTCCTCGGCATCTGCAATTCCCACCACCATCCTCTTGGCGGAGGGCTGGGGAGCCCCAGGGCTTCCCTGAGTTATGGAGAGATGGTGACAGAGGCAGGAGCGTTCAATGGGCAAGTCAGGCCCTTTCGGGGTGAGTGGCACAGGAGGGCGTGGGGCAGGTGGGGAAGGGGCCGCCTGTCCTGCATAGGACACAGCAGAGCCCGCACCAGGTCTGCTGCTCTGGAAAGTGGAGCTGCAGAGGGGCCGAGCCGAGGCTCTTGGGAGCTGCAGGAAGTCAGCCACGCTGACCTTACGCCACGCGGCGCAGTCTCTCAGGCTGGGGAGGCCCACGGCCAGAGTGGCTGCGCTGCAGCGTTCCCAGCACGGCTGCAGTTCCAGCTGTGCCCCCGCCCTTGAGATCCGTCCAGCGTGCAGGTCAACACTGCACGTGTGACCGTTGCCGGCTGACTCTCCCTGTCCCCACCCAGGGACTCTGGATCCCAGAAGGTGAGAAAGTGAAGATTCCTGTGGCCATCAAGGAATTGAGAGAAGCCACGTCTCCAAAAGCCAACAAGGAGATCCTGGATGTGAGTTCCTGCTCTGAGCCGAGGTGTCCACGGGCCCTGACCTCAGGAGCCCCTTCTCCGGGTCTGGCATCGGCAGCTGTCACTTAGACTTCTCTCCAAATCCTCTTTCCCTCTATAGCTGCTGCAATCCACTCACCTCTTCATTCCGCTTTCTCCACCTCCCAGGGACCAGTAATTCATTTATTCCTTTTGCAGTACTAGAAGTTGAAACCAGGCCCACAGCACTGAGCTGCCTCTCCAGCCTCCTTGCCGCTTTTTAATCTGAGACAGGGTCTCCCTGAGTCATTTGCCCAGGCTGGGCTTGAGCTTGCAAGCCTCCTGCCTCAGCCTCCCAGAGTGCTGAGATTCTTTATTTAGATTCTCGCCACTTCAGGAACACTTTCCTCACCAGCACTTCTCAGAGCAGGTTGTCGTGTGGAAGCAGAATAGACCTGCAGGTGTGGCCATTCCGATCAGGGACCCCGGGTCAGTCTGTCCCCGCCATGCTGTTTGTTCTCTAGGGAAGGTGTCTGCGTGTCGCTCTGAGCAAAGTGCTTGCTGGATGTTTCAGGAGAGGCACTCAAAAGGGCTTGGGACAAAATATCTCCAATTCAGTGCATTTGGGGAAGAAACGGTGCCTCAAGGAAGCTTCTTGGCCTCAGGAGGCTGAGTCGGGCCAGAGCCTGTCATTATCTCTGACTCAGGTGCAGTTTGCTCTGCCACATTACCTTAGCTTTCGAGTGACTGTATGAAGAAGGACTAGGGGGAACAACATGAGGCCCATTGTATAAACTGGTGCCAGGCCTGCAGTGACACATGTCTCACAGCACTCTGGGAGGCTGAGGCAGGAAGATCATAAATCTGAGCCCAACCTGGGCAATTCAGCTGCTTAGTGAGACCCTGTCTGAAAGTAAAAAGAGGGAGGCTGGGGCTGGGGCTCAGGGTGGAAGGCCCTGGGTCCAACCCCGGTACACATTAAATAGAACATTGCCCACCTTCTGTACCACCCACCCCTTGCTGATTTAGTGCCAGCCTTGGTGTCAGCTGCGCATGGCTTTCCCACCGCTCTGGCCTCCTGGCCTAGCACCGGGCTGCACCCTGCTGGGGAGAGCCAGCTTCAAGGCCCTTCAGGCACAACATCAGTCCAGCTGCCCGGAGCTACTGAAATCTTGGACTCTTGTCCGGAGACTGGGCAGGTGAAAGGGGAGGAGGCGCATCACGCCAAGGCAGTGGTGGCGAGCCTGCGGCACGCGTGTGACAACAGGCCGTTTGCTATCACTGGAATCTAAATAAAGAATCTCCGCGCTCTGGGAGGCTGAGGCAGGAGGTCTTTCACCATCACGGGGCTAGGGTTAGGGAAACACAGTCAAAGGAAAGGAAAAACAGGGCCTGTGGCCCCGAAGGTCTGGAGAATTTTGCTGATCTTACAAGGATGAAAGCCAGATAGAAAACCTGCACCCCATCCAACTGCAGGCATCCTGTAAGCAAAGCAAGCAGGAGCCTATTAAGTGTGCTTGGGCACAGTGACTCTCCCAAGGCAGTGCCCTCTGCACTCTGATTTTCTCTGGGCCGCTTTCCCCCCTTCGCTTACACCCACTCCTAAGGAGAAGGTGGGTATAATTATTACTACTATACAGTCAATAGAAAGTCCTAATGTCGATGATACGTTCATCAAACAAAGTCACCTTCCCTTGGAAAGGGTTAGGAGTCCGTGCCGAGCCTGTCGGCGTGCTGTCACGGCTGTTAACATGGGTGTGAGGCAGGGGCCGGGACTGGGAGCTCACTTGCACCAGGCTCGCACCTGCACTGCTAAAAGGAAAACCTTCCTGCTGACCCTGCTCCCACCTTTCACTCCTTCGAGACCTCCCAGTGGGCTGCACTGGTAACGCAGGGCAGGACCCTCTGGACGTGTTCTGAACAGCATCGGATCTGTGGGGAGGAGCCGGTTTTCACGCAAGTCTCTGGCTGGAGACTTTAGCTCAGGAAATCTACAGTTTCTGGGGTGGAGCAGAAGCTGCAGAGAGGAAAGGTTGACGGTTGCAAGCGTCGAACACCGGAAGGGCCGTTCTGCTCCTTTCTCACCCCTCTCCTGGTCCCTCTCCTGCTCCATCGTCTTGGCTTCAGGCCCCCTCATCCTGCAGTGATGTCTTTGACCTTCTCCTGAACACCAGCTGTTGGGGCTGAGAGGAGAGGAGAGAGGATTAGCACCTCCAGGCCCAGGGCGGCACATCCAGAGGGGCACCTGGCACTCGGCATCCCGCTGCCTGGGCTTGTGTGGGTGCCGAGAGCCCCACAGAGAGGGGACGCTGCTCGGCTTCCGTGAAGGGACAGCAGTGCGCGGCCGTGAGGCCGGTTCTCCCTGTGTGGAGTGTGCTGCCCCTGCGTTCTCCAAATGCGGCTCCTCATTCGGTCCAGCAAGCGTGGCCCAGTGGCCCTGTGCTCTGGGTCCAGCACGTGCTGGGCCTCTGCTCTGCCGAGCTGTCAGGGGCACGGTGACTGATGTCGGTGTAGTCTGTCAGGAGCGCCTCCCTCACGCAGGCCTTGTGCTCAGGAGTTAGAGCCAGTGCAAGCCTTTCCCGCGTTCATAACCTAAAGCAGTTCATGGATGAGGGGGACGAGCAACGCAGCAGGCGCAGAAATCATGTCCTCCAAGAGGACACAGTGGTAGACTGTCGAAGTGGTCCCCAAAGCCTCAGGGCTGCCCTTGGGGGGCTCTGCTCCGTGGCCCTGGGATTCCACGCATACTTGCTGTGGTCACGCTGCACCTCCACCATCTCCAAGACAAACAGTGGAGGACAAAGCTCACTTTAACTGGGCTCCCATTGTGCCCGGGAGGGTGGCAGGAAGCCACGCCTGCCTGTCCCGTGGGCCGATCAGATTGCAGCAGGATGGAATTTGGCAGGGCCTCCCGGCCTGTGTGGCCAACACGCTCCCCCCGCTGTGTACTGGTCCGGTCCAGGTCGGCGCCCGCCGCCCACCGAGGCGGACTGCTCACAGGGCCAGCTCTGCAGATGTTTCTGCCCTGGAAATTAGAACAATACGTGCCAAGACCTCAGCACACCCGGGAGGCGGACAGCGGGGCTTCTCTCTGGGGTGCTTGTACGCCTTCCGGGCATGCGGAGAGGCAGGGTTCGGGCCTCGCTGACATCTGTGGCCCAGGAGCTTTTCCACAGCCTTTGCAGTTTAAACACGGGACAGGACTGGGAGCGCAAGGCAGAGCAGCTTTACACGGGTGTTACTCGTGTGCCTGCGTGTGCAGTGTCCGTGACCAGGGGCCCCGAAGCACCATGGTTTGTGTCCGCAGCGCCCTTGGGCCCTTGCTGTCCTCTGCCACCCGTGGGTGGGTAGTGGGCTGGGGAGGAGGCAACTGGCCCACGTTAGGAGACCAGGAGGCCTCATCCTGATGTGGAAAGGCCGGCCTCAGTGTCTGTGCTAGGAGTGTGGCTTCGTCACAGCTCCCCTGACACCATGCCTTTAAGGAGGAGAGGGTCGTTTTTGCCTCACTGTTTGCAGAGGTCTCGGCCCGCCACAGGCCAGTGCCAAGGCAGGGCAGCATGGCACCAGGGCTGCCTCGGGAGAGCTACTCAGGTACCCCAGAAAGTCAGCTCTGAGCCCCTGGAGTCCAGCGCCTCTCCAAGCCCCACCACAAGCAAGTGGGCTTTAGGGGCGCACCTGGACTGAAGTCCCACCCGCGACCTCTGGTGAGCTGCCCGTGCTGGCTCTGTGCAGCTCTTTCTAAACAAGCGACTGCCCCAGAGGGAGTTTTCATTGTCCCAGCGTCCATGGGTATTCAACATCTGCTTGGCTCTTTCATTTTTCTGTACTGGGGATCGAACCCAGGGCCTTCACACCAAGCTATATCCCCAGTCTTTTTTAATTTCTTTATTTTGAGACAGGGTCTCCTTAAGTTGCTAAGTTGCCCAGCCTGGGATGGAACTTGCCATCCTCCTGCCTCAGCCTCCCAGGGTGCTGAGATGGCGTGTGCATGGCTTACTTTGCCCCATAATGTCAGTATGTTATGTTTGTCATATGAGGGAAAAACTGCTCATCCTACCTGGGAACAGATCCTGAGCCCTCAGGAAAGCGTCCATGCCATGTTGTGCTGGGGTCCACAGCAGCCTGTAGCAACGCTTGCCCGGGGGCCCAGCTCTAGGGCCTGTTACACACAGTACAGCTGGCCCCAGAGCTCTGCAGGAGGCACAGCTCCTGAATCACACAGGCCTGGGTGCTCCAAGCAGAGGCTGGGCCTTCAGCGGAAGCTGAGGCTTCCTCCCCACAGCACCCACTCCTGAATGTCCCCTAGGAAAGATGGCTTCTCAGAGCTCTGGAGTGGTTGAGGTGACCTGCAGGACCCTGGCGCTCGACGGGGAGCAGGAGAGGGGGCAGGATGCTGTGGGGACAGAGGCCTCACGAGGAGGGGATAGTGCAAGCTCCCAGGAATGGGAGGGCCTGGGTCTGGGGGAGCACATGTCCCGAGGTCACCCCAAAGCGGTGCACAAATAAGTAAGGAGTAAGTACACGGCCTGCCCAGCCCCAGCCCTCACACCTCCAGGCTTGGCCTGCCTGGGCGCCCACCCCACCCTGCAGAGCCTCCAGCCTGGCTGCCCTGCCACCAGGATTGCATTCTCCCGCAGTCCCTGTGGTCTCCTTCACAGCCCAGTAAATGTCACCCTTGAGTTTCAGTGGGACAGAGAATTTACAGGAAGCCCTGCTGTGCAGCGCTATAAACCTCCCCCTTAAGATGGCAGAATGGGGTTAAATAAGAGTCTGTGTCACAGACAGACAGACACACACACACACACACACACACACACACACACACAGAGCCTGTGGCGAGCAGGGTGGGGTAGTGTGCAGAGCAGAAGTTCTGCCCACTGGGAGGCTGAGGTAAGGGCCTCTCCTTGGAAAAGGGTCTGTGCCACATGCATTTCAGAAGTGCAGCTGGGCTGCCCGAAGTGTTCCCTGGAGACCCCACGCCCCATCGCGGAGGGCAGGGCCAGGCTGGCCTGAGCGGAGCCCAGTCCGCCACCCTGGCTGGGTGGCCCTGCCTGAACCTTCTGTGCGGCAGCACCCCACAGCCAGGCTGGACAGAGCGAGCCCTGTGGGTGTGCTGGGCCCCTCCGTGTCTGTCAGGACTGCGGCATCCCCTCAGGGGAGGCCACAGTGCACAGACTCAGCGGGACCAGGGGACTCAGATCTTTCACTGGGCACTCCTGGCTCCGCACCACGCAGGACCGAGACACAGCCAGGAGGGTCCCGCCCACCCGAGGCCCTCAGCCTCCACAAGTCCCTTGCACCCCACACCACGTCCCCGGGCCTTTGCCGGAGTGGATCTGTGTCCCCAGCCCATGGAGCTTCCTCACGTGTGCCCTCTGCCCGCAGGAAGCCTACGTGATGGCCAGCGTGGACAACCCCCATGTGTGCCGCCTGCTGGGCATCTGCCTGACCTCCACCGTGCAGCTGGTCACGCAGCTCATGCCCTTCGGCTGCCTGCTGGACTACGTGCGCGAGCACAAGGACAACATCGGGTCCCAGCACCTGCTCAACTGGTGTGTGCAGATTGCCAAGGTGAGGAGGCGCCAGTGGCAGTGGCGGGCAGTGACCAGGCCGGCGCGAGCAGGAGGAGCCAGGAGGAGCCGCCAGTGGGAGGGAGCAGCCAGGCCCTCGTCCCGGGTGGCGGGCACTGCGGAACGCTCGCTCGTGTGCCTGCGGGGACACCGCCTGTCCTCACCTCAGGTTAAACTGGGCCGATGCCAGCGTGCGCAGAACCAGTCCTGCCCCGCTGCGTGTGGCAGCCCAGTGCCCGGGTGTGCGCGGGTTTGTCTTCCACAGTGCTGGGTGCAGTTTGGGATCCCTGTCCCCACTGCTCCGGGGTCTCCAGGGACACAGTGGTGATTTGCACAGTAGCGGTGAGGCTTCTCCCTGGGACTAGGTGGGGAGCCAGGCTGGGATAGGCGGGGCCAGGGAGGCAAGGACGGTGCTGGGCAGAAGGCAGATGGCTTCAGGGGGGGTGCGGATCCTCTAGTGTCCCTGTGGCCAGCTCTGCAGAGCAGGTACAGGGCCGTCCACGTCCTGCAGATGGGCAGGGGCTGCCTGGGTGATCACAGCCCGGCTCTCCCCTCAGCTTGGCCGCAGCAGCAGCTGGCACCCAGCTTCTAAACTCCATTTCTGCTGGCGAGGAGTACACTTTCCATACTGTGGCAGATCCTCCGGGGTGTGCACCCTACGCTCTGTCCCCTCAGACAGCCAGCAGGGCTGCCCAGGCAGCAGGGAAGGTGATTCACAGCACAAAGCCTGTTCCTGGACCCCTCTGCCAGCAGCTGCCTGGGGTCCGAGGGACGGGGCAGGCTGGCCCCTCCTGTCACCACGGGGCAGCAGCACTCCTACCCCTGCACCGTGGCAGAAGGGGGTGCCCCTTCCCTCGGGCTGCCAAGGTCAGTGGTGTCTAACCCTAAGGGTGCTGAAGAGGGGGTGGGCACCCTCTCATCTCACGCCACCATGCGAGTTTCCGCCACACACGGAGGGGGCTGCTCCCAACCCCAGCACCCTCACAGTCCCGCAGGACAAAGTCCAGCCAGGCGTCCGCAGTCCTCTCACCCAGAAGACCCTCCCGCGTCTGGCGGTAGGTGGCCAGGTCGCCCCTTGTCCCTCTGTCTTCAGGTAGCCTCTGCGCTGTCCCTGTGTGGGCTGCCCCTCCTCCTCCCCGTGTGAACAGTGTTGCACCTGAACTGCTAACAGGGTGGGCTTTAAACAACCTCACTACATCGGGACGCCTGGGCCAAGGTGGTGGATCCGCTGAGCAGGTGGGCTTCGTCACGCGCCAGTGTGCGCGGCCAGGCCTACGCTCGCACACAGAAAGGAGCCAGTCACTGGCACACAGCCCAGCCTCCACCTGGGAGGCCCCACATCCATCTTTGATGAAGGGATTTGCCAAACACTAGGTCCAAGTAAGGTCACCTTCTGGGGTGCTGGGCAGACATGAAACTGGGGGACATGGTTCAGCCTGACACAGAGCTGACCTCCAGCTACCCCAGAGCAGTTTTATTCAATGTGGAATTATTTCTAAAGGTGTCCTCGGCCCACCCTCCTGAAACCAGAACTCTTCCACAAGTCCCCAGCGACCCACTGGGGAGAGGGAGCCCAGTACGCTCTCGTGCAGCCTGGCTGCCCGGCTCCTTTCAGCACAGGGTGCTGCCTGGGCAGATGAGCTTTGTTCCCGAGGTGTGGCCACCTGGCCAACTGTCCCCAGCCCAGATAGGGCTAGCAGAGTTCTGCATTCCTTGAGCCAGCTTCACCTGCATGGGTTTATTGGTTTTTTTCCCGAACTGGAAATTGAACCCAGGGACCTTTTTCTTTTTTTTAATTATAGTGAGACAGGATGTCCCTAAGTTTCTAAGTGGCCTAGGCTGCTCTCAAACCAAAGTCCTCCTGCCTCAGCCTCCCAGAGTGTTAGGATTACCTTCCTGTGCCACCACAATTGGTCTCCTTAATGCCAACTCCACCAGGAAGAACCCAGAAATTTAGCATCGAGTCTTTAATGGTCTCACTGGAGTCCTCAGCTCTGCGAGGAGACTGCATAGGGCCGGGGTATGCTCGTGCTCATGACATGGGAGGCCCCGGGTTTGATTCCCAGCACTTCGGACAGACACACTGATGTGCAGACCCGCAACACGAGGACAAGGCAGCAGGGCCGTCAGTGTGAGGTGTCTCACTTCAGGGGCCCCGGCCTGCACCATTTCCCCCGTGCGGGCTGGGCTTCTAGTCTGGGCGAGCCAGAATCAAACCTTGGTTCTGACACCAGGACCATGGGCGCCGTGCAGGTGCTCCGTCCTTCAGCACTGCTCTCCATGGCTGTGAAACCGCCTCTGCCCACCCATCTCCCTGGGCAGCAGGGTCAGAGCCACCAGCCCCGAAGAATCACCTCCAACCGTCTCTAGTGTCCACCAAGGAGGACATTATTTGGACCCTAGCACTGGCCCCTCAGTGTCCACTGCAGGAGTCCAGCCAGGATGGATCCCATCAGCTCAGTCCCCACAGCCCCCAAGCTGGAAGCCCAGGGCCTCAGAGTTTCCCGGCAGTTCCTGTGTGCAGTCAGTGCCCTGGCCACAGCTGTGTGAGCTCACTGTCATGACCGAGCTCCTAAGAGGACAAATACAGTTATATCAGCTGGGCAAAAGGGAAAAGAAAAAAATAATGACAATCAAGACCAAAACCGAAACAGGTGACCGAGGATGGAAACCAGGACCGGACTGGTAGGCCGAAAGGCCACACTGCCTGCCACACAGAGAGCGTGGATTCTGCGCTCCACATCAAGAAGTCAGTCTTGGGTCTGGGGCGGAGCCACCCTGCCCCTGAGCCTGAGCTCACAGACAGCATCCGCCCCCGGGAGGGGTTCTGTTCCGGAAACCACACTTTCTGGTGTGCAAGCCAGCTAGGAGCCCCACATCTACGGCATGGCAAGATAATGCCATGAAAGAAAATGTTCTAATCCCAAAGAGAATGTTCTGATCCAGAAGATGCTATCAGCAGTGTGCTTGGAAATCCCCGCGACCTTCCCTTCAAGCCTGACAGCATGTTAGTGCAAAGCCTGCAATAAAGAAGCTGTTTACACAGACTGTGACTCATCCAGCCCTCCCCCAAACTTTGGGGACCACAGAGTCTTTCTTGTCACCCAGATTAAGATCTGACAGGACCGAGTTTTCAGACCACACTGATCTGGCTCTGCAGCAGCACAGATAACCTGGGTGTCTGGTCAGAGGCCCTCGTGAGAGGCGCAGGGCTGGTTCCCGGGAAGACCCGGTTGCCGGGAAGACCCAGTTTGTGGTGTCATTCCCTGAGCACAGCTTTACAATGATGCTCGGTCAGTCTGCGAGGTAAAATGTCATGGGGTAAACGGTTTAGAACTTCAGCTCAAAGGGCCTGCCTTTCAAATGGGCAGGGAGACGTGACTGAAGACACAGCGAATGTTTTAGCTTTCAAAACATTATTGTGGCAAAAGACACATTACCATGAATCCCCTCCAGATCGCCTCCTTGCTTTGAATGTGCTGACCCCACCAGCCTTGCCACTTTCTGAAGCTCGTGTGCAGGACCTTTCTCCTTACGAGGTGCAGTCGAAGACAGAGGAGGCTGCTGCCGCGCGCCGGCCGGTGGAAAGGCAGGCTCATGAACGCGTGACGCCCGTCCTCACCCGCCTCACCCACTGGGCCTGGCGCTGTGCAGCTTCTGGCTCCTCCCAAATCACATGGACATTGGGGCGGCCGGGACAGCACAGCTAAAGACTGCAGAGCGGCGGCAGAAAGCGGCGGGAGTGGTGGGCTGGGCGAGTCTGAAGGCAGGGTGTCATGAGGGCGACCCAGGGCGGTGTCCTCTACCACAGTTCTTTAACGTGAATATTCACCGTATCTTTCGATCGCACCTCGTGGTGATGAACATTCGCCGGCTGCAAGTTCCCGGGTCCATCACACAGAGCACAAAGATGGGTGGAAGTCGTCCTCGTAGGGCAGAAACAGCTCAGAGCAGGTGTGCGTCTGGTGTCCGGTTCAGACTTGACACACCTCCCCACAGCACCAGGGGCCTGGGGAGCCCCTCACCACAGCCCCTTTGTTTCAGGGCATGAACTACCTGGAGGACCGGCGCCTGGTGCACCGAGACCTGGCGGCCAGGAACGTCCTGGTGAAGACGCCACAGCACGTCAAGATCACAGACTTCGGGCTGGCCAAGCTGCTGGGCGCGGAGGAGAAGGAGTACCACGCTGAGGGCGGCAAGGTGAGGGGCCGCGGTGGGTGGAGTCCAGCCGCCCCCACCTGCACGCAGCCGGGGTCTGCTGTGTGGGGATCGGCTTTGCAGGGGAGAGGGTAAGGACGCCAGGTGGTCACCAACATGGCTGCAGCCCCACCTGCCGCTCAGGACACAGCTCTGGGAGCCTCACTGTGCCTCTGGGTCCCGGTCCTGCTGCAGGGACTGCCCAGCAGTACCCAGAGCCCTCCACCAGTGGCTCTGGGGGTCCCGTGTGTCTCCGGGACGCATGCCTGGTACTGGCAGAAGGGGAGCCAATCTCTTCTCCTTGGCTGGGGCTGTCAGGCACTGTCACAGCGCCCAGGGGTGCACAGACACCTGCCAGGCCCGTGCCTCCCCTAGCTGGGCTCTAGCTGCATCAGCTGCTCCTCTGGTGAGCTTCTGGCCTTTGTGATACAGCGGCCATCAACCCGAGGACACTGCCCCTGAAGACCCTTTCAAATGCAGGGTGCTCGGGACCCCCAGGCTGGCCAGAACCCTTAGCACTGAACAGCCCTGGCCCTGTGAACTCAGCCACGGAGTTGCGAAGCCATCCCTGGGCCACCAGAGCACCCGCCCCTGGGCAGAGGCGTCATTTGCAGTTGGCCTGCTGTATTTAACATTTGCAGGGAGGGGCGCTAATGGCGGTCTTACTGCCTTATCTCCTGTCACCCCAGGTGCCCATCAAGTGGATGGCTTTGGAATCAATTTTACACCGGATTTATACCCACCAGAGCGATGTCTGGAGCTACGGTGAGTCAAAGTCCTGACGCTAATGAATTTGTACTGCAGCGAGGCTGGCTTTCATTGTTTGTTAATTGATATTATATGCTCTGACACACAAGCATTTTCTTTCAAGACAGTGACTAAGAGTAATGGGATAGCTGCTGTCTGTCTGTGACACTGAAAACCCAACAAAGGAGTCTGACCCCCACCCTGAGTGTCTGGAGCCAGGGAGAGCACTAGGAGGGGCGGAGGGGTGGAGGCTCCGGGCCGGGTCCCAGGCCCTGCCTAGTGGCTCCCAGCGAGCCAGAAGTCTGGAGTGGGAGCCGAGAAGAGGCTGATCGAGGGTCTCTGAGGCGAGGCATCCGCACGCAGCAGAAGCAGGGCTGCCCAGCGCTGGCCTTGTCTCAGGAAGTGGTTGGGGTCTCTGGGTGTCAGAGCAGCGTGGGAGAAAGCGAGGGACAGAAAGGACTGCTCCGTCCCCGCAGAACCCACGTCCTCGTGGCACCCTGCCCGGCCTGCCCTAGGATGGGGTCTGTGCAGCCTCGCCCCGGGACGTGGTCACGGCCGGTCACTGTCACGTGTGCCCACACTGGGTCCTCCGATTCCGCGCAGCCACCGCAGAAAGCTCCCCTCTCTCCGCAGCCCTGTGCAGCCGCAGCAGCGAGGAGGCTCAGCCCAGAAGCGGCCCTGGGGCGAGCAGCGCTGGGCGACGTGCACAGGACGGGGTCAGGAGCACAAGGGCCCTTACGCAGAATGTCCCTGAAGCATTTTTAAACCTGCTTTCCTTTGCGCATTTCCGTATTTCTTAACTTTCTAATTTCCAAAACTAGACCTTTAATTCCGTGAGGCTCTTTTCACCGGAGAAGGTTTTTAGTGCCTCTTCTGATGCGTGAGTCTTGTCACAGGGGAGAACCAAGCACACGCCACACGCCAGCGCCTCTGCCCGCCCCCGCCCCCTCGCCCACCTTCCACTCTGCTCTTTGAGTCACTTGTATTCTGAGTTTCTCGTCCGAGGAGGCCAGGAGACACGAGCCCTCTGTGCCCGAGCAGGGCCCGCGTCTCTGAGGAGGAGGAGCTGCGGCCCTCACCTGTGAGCTGAGCCACAGCCGTCCCTGGCCTCGCCACCTGCCGTCGCACTTGGTCAGCGTGCCTGCCCCCCACCCCGAGCCGTTGCTCTCGCCCGTGTGAGGCTGGCCTGCTGGCCTCCCCTCCCCCCGGGCCCCTTCTGCTCTCCACGGCTCCACCAGGCTCTGGCTGCTCTGCTTCCCACTGCTCTTTGCTTCTGCCTGTGTTCCCCGTAAAATCCGAACTCCTATGCACGTGCAGGAGCGACGCTCCCCTGCCTCTGTAACACCACACGCCCCCACGCCCCCGTCCAGGCCCTGCCATCGCCGCCAGCTCACAGCCCACACTCCCAGGGAGTGGAAACTCCTGAGCTCGGTGACAGGATGCCTTGCAGGGGTCACAACCGGTATCCCCGGTCGGCAACACTAGAGTGGCCATGTGTCTGTAATCCTGTTGGAGCTGTGCTGTCGGTGATTATCGTCCTGGGCAGTCCCCGGCAGTCCACAGCAGATACTAGACCGTGAGCCTGAGTTAGAGTATGCTGTCCATCTAAACTCACCAGTGACGGCAAAATAGCGATTATCACCTGGCATGGTGGTGCACTCGGTGAGGCTGAGGCAGGAGGATCACAAGTTCCTGCCTACCCTGAGCAACTTGGCAACTTAAGAAAAGCCTGCATCAAAACATGGAAAATTTTTTAAAGGCTGGGGATGTGGCTTAGTATAAGGGCCCTGGATTCAGCCCCTGAACTGCCAAAAAAATTATAATACATTATGACACAGTGCTTCACTAAGGAGTTGAAGACAGAATTCACACTGCATGGAGCATCTTCATTCCCAGCTCCCACACGCATGTCGCCCTGCTCTCCATGTCTGGAGCTCACGTGCACACTTAGAAACCTGGCCAGGCGGTGTTAACCGACCTCAGTGATCTGGAAACACCCTTTCTTTCACCAAGTCCACAGAGTGTAGAGGGGAGAGACACAGGGGCTGTTTTCTGGCCCCGGGACCCTGCCTTCCTCCCCTCTTTGACTTAAACTCCACACATCAGTCCAAGCATAGACTGGCCTCACAGCGTCTGAGCAGGTCTGCGGTACAATGAGAGAGCATCGTGCACCAAAATGCTTGGGGAAGACCACAAGTATTCACATTTTGGGAGTTTTTAACATTTTGGGAGCTTTCACATTTTGGAATATTTGCATAGACTTTTCCAAAATCCAAGCCTTTTGGAGCATCACTTTGGAGCATTTCAGATGTGGGTTTTTGAGTTGTTATTGTGCAAACTGTAATGTGTCTAAAGGTCAAGTCTAAGGACACTAGTCACTCGACCACTGGAAACTGGAGTGCTCTGGCAGGGTCCTGGGCCCGTGGTCCCAGGGGTGTGCTCAGGACTCAATCCCTCCGGAGCAGCCTCCAGCAGCACTGCAGGACACTGCACTGCCCGTGAGGATAGCAGGAGCCAGGGACAGTTGGACTCCACACTCAGAAGAGAGGCTTTTGTTAGAGGGGCTCAGAGATGAGGGCTGGCAGAACCAGCTCATCCGGCATCTCCGGCATCAAACATCTCTGCCCGGCATCCACCGCTTCAACCTGGTTAAGCAAGTTGGCAGTCGACTGACTTTGAAACAAAAAACAGGGGCTTTTGTGTTTCTCGTAAGGAGCATAAGCTTCTCATTTCCTTATGTTGAGCTTCGCGCATGCAGCCTTGTTGGGAATCCCCATCCCCATGGCCCCGTGAACACGAGCACTTGAGCAGTGGGGGTGACTCCCCACCGCGGTGGTATTAACTGGGCTTGTGCCGCCTGAGTCCCTGCTCGTTGTCTGTGCTCTTATCACCGATGTTTACCATTTGCGGGTGAGCTACAAGCTGCCAGCATTTGCTACGCCTTTCAGTTGTGTTATCTCACCGGGCCCTCAGTCATCATTTCAGACAGGTGCTGTTATTTCCCACTCATTCCGTGGATAAACGGAGGCTTCCAGATGTCAAGCAGGTTGCCCAGAGCTGTAGAAACAGATCTGTAAACTCTGGAGAGCCACTGTGATGGGTTTGTCAGTGCTGGGATTGTCACTGTGGCACTAGGTGACGGCTCTCTCCGCCTGCTTCCTCCTCCAGGAGTCACCGTGTGGGAGCTGATGACCTTCGGGTCCAAGCCATACGACGGGATCCCCGCCAGCGAGATCTCGTCCATCCTGGAGAAAGGAGAGCGCCTGCCACAGCCGCCCATCTGCACCATCGACGTCTACATGATCATGGTCAAGTGTGAGTGTGGGCCCGGCAGGAAGGGCCCTCTGCTCTTGACCCTCTGTCCCCAGTAGCAAAGGCCTTGAACCATTTGGGGCAGGCACCCGGGCAGGCACAGCTGTGGACACCCGGCACGCATTCCTCAAAAAGTGCCTGCCAGCCTCCCTCAGCTGTGGGGCCCACATTCACTCGTGTTCACAAGCAAATAAGTAAAACTCAGTCTTCTGTAAGCCCTTGCACCCAAGTGCTCTATTCTGTGAATTGGTAGGTGAGCTGCAGAGAGGTGACCGGCGGGACAGAATGTTGGGAATCCCTGCCCCCTGTCACGGTGCGGCTGGTGAAACCAACTGTCCTGCTTCGGTGAAATTGGACGGTGGATTTCTGCAAGGCCACCTGTGGGGCAGATGTAAACATTTTCCTGATGGGAGGAAGCCAGTGACTGGTGCTGTTGCTCCACCAGACCCCCACTGCAGGGCAGGAGATGGGCACGACAGAGCCGCGTGCCTGTGAACGAGCGTGCCCTCCTGAACAGCACGCTGTGCTGACCCAGTTCTGCCGTGGTGTAGACTGAGCCGCTGGGTTGCAGAGGTCGCACGCTCTGGCTCGGGTCACACAATGCCCGGCTGAGAACAGCTCGACGCCCTCTGGTGGAGGGATGGGGTCTCTGGAGAGGCCAGGGAAGCCTAGGGACAGCCTCCCCAGCTGGCGGAGCTGGGACGTGGGTCCTCGTGGGGCCCGGTGCCCTGAGGGTGCGAGAGGCACTGGCGCTTGCAGCCCTGAGCTCGACTCGGCTCTGCAGAGCAGATGATAAATGGAGGCCGGGGCAGCGGGCCTGGCCTCGAGTGGTGCTGCCTGGGTGTGGGGTGCAGAGATGGCGCCCCGACAGGGCCAGACTCGCGCTGCCAGTGCCGTGCTGTTCCGGGGGTCGGATCTGCCTGTGGCCCCCGAGGGGGACTGTAAGTGAGGATGGGGCACCGAGCCTGAAGGCGGCCTAGGGCCACAGTGGTCACAATGCAGCTGCGTGCGCGACTCCGCTCGTCACAAGGGGCCCTGGGAAGAGCAGGAGCAGGAAGCTAACCGGGGGTGTCTGGGTGCTCCGATCCACACATCGCCGCCCCGTGCTCTGTGGCAGCGGGCCGTGCAGGCCGGAGCTGAAGGCTGCCGCGAAGGTCGGCCTCCCCGCTGTTGACTTGTCCAGCAGCACTGCACCGGAAATGCTTCCTTTGCACACGGATAACAGCTTCCTTCTTCCTTTTCTATTGTTATTACCACCTACTAATCGCACAAACTTGCAGGATTCACGCGGATGTTTCCTGACGTGCACACGTCGCGCAGGGTTCCCCATCCACCCTTCCTCGCCCAAGCTTCCTCCCGGCTCCACCTTCCCTGTCCTGGAGGTCTCAGAATCCTGTCCCTCAGCCTCCCTCCTATCCTTGGGCCACTGCTCAGTCCGAATTTCCACAAGGCTGACTCGCTGGTTTCCATGAACAGCGAGAAACTGCTTCCTGTCTCTCTGTGTGTGGCTTCTCCCGCTCAGCATAATGACCTCCAACTCCACGCATGGCTACAAACGGCAGGACTGCACTCTTTTCCTGCCTGAATAGCACTCCACTGCGAAATACGCCACACTTTCTTCATCCACTCACCCAGCGAGGGCATCTGAGTTGCTCTGCGCTTTGGCTATAGGAAACATGGAGATGCAGGCATCTCCTTGGTGTGAGATTGTCTATCCTCCAGGTGTGACACAGTTGTGGAATCGCTGGGTCACACTGTGCTTCTAGCTTTAGTTTTTGAGGACTCTCCACTCTGGTTTCCGTACGGCTGTTCTCATTTACAGTCCCACCCATGGTGTTGAAACCCTCCTCTTCTCCACAGCCCGACCAGCACTTGTCGTTTCCTGTCTTTGAGATGAGAGGTGATTTGTATTTCTCCAGTGATTAATGAAACTGAGCATTTTTCATATATTTGTTTGTCATTTATATGTCTTCTTCCAAACGTTTGGCTCTTTGCCCATTTTTTAATTGATTGTTTAGTTTAGGGGGGTTTTTAATGTGTGTTTAGCTTTCAGGATGAATCCTGTGCTGGATTACTATTTGCAAAGGTTTTCCTTCATGGGTTGTCTGTGACTCTTGTCAATTCCTGTTTTTCTGTCGCTGTTGTTCTTTTTCTTTTAGTTTGATGTCTTCTTATTCATATATTCTTACTTTTTTCCCAATACTAGGGATTGAACCAAGGGCCTTCACACCGAGTTACACCTCCAGTACATTTTATTTTTTATTTTGAGACAAGATCTTACCAAGTTCTTAAATTTCCCAGGCTGGGCTCAGACTTGCAGTTCTGCTTCAGCCTGCTAGAGTACTGGGATAATATATTTTTACTTTTGTTTCCTGTGATTTTGAGGTCATATTTTAAAAACTGTTGCCTATACCAGTGTCGTGAAAAGCTTGCTGTATGGTTTCTGGAAGTAATTTCAGTTTTTGCACACCTGCGTTTTAGGTTTTTAATCCAATTTGAGTTGATTTTGTGTGTGGCACAAGGATGTGATTGCTGTCTTCTGTGAATGCATATCTAACTTTGCCCACACTAATTATGGAAGAGACTGTCTTCTCTCCACTGTGTGTTCTTGGTGCCTTTGTCAAAAATCAGCAGTTGTGTGAGCATTGACCAGCAGTCAGGCTCTCAGTCCTGGCTGTCTGGTCTGTGTTTGCTTTTATACCTGCTGTGCTGTTTTAACAACCCTGACTTTGTAGTGTGTTGTGAAGTCTCGTGTGGTGACCCTGCAGCTTGTGTTTTCTTTGTTTATTTGTTACTTGCTCACTTGCTGTCCTCAGGATTGCTTTGGCTGTTCTGGAACTTTTGTGACATAAATACTTCCTCTAAGCAATCTTCTTAGTTACTTTTTTGTTGCTGGGACAAAGTACACAACACCCACAGCTTAAAGAGAAGAGGTTTACCTGGGCTCAGGGGTCAACCTATGGTCGCTGGCTCCAAGGCAGGGCAGCATGGCAGCGTGGCAGCATGGCGGCGCGGCAGAGGAGGTGTGCTCGTAGCATGGTGGCAGGAGTCAGGACAGAAGGAAACTTCTGGGGAGGGACATGAACCTTCCAGGCCACTCCTCCAGGACCCCGCTTCTGGCAAGGCCCTCTTTCCTCGCCCCACAGTCCCATCACCTATGACCACATGAGGCTCTTGGAGGACGTGTGGATGTAAACCGTAGCAGGCACCAAGTCTGTTGCTTCTCCCAGGTTCTAATTGCTGCCTTTCTTGTTCCATCCTCAGGCTGGATGATAGATGCGGACAGCCGCCCAAGGTTCCGCGAGCTGATTGTCGAGTTCTCCAAAATGGCCCGAGACCCGCAGCGCTACCTTGTCATCCAGGTGCTGGGAAGAGCTTGAGTGCCCCTGGCAGAGGCCCCTCTGATGAGTGCCAGTCGCTGTGGCCCATCCTTAGCCCATGTCCTCGGTCACATTGTCAAATCCCATGGTGGTGCTTGGCTCCATTGCTCAGGGGAGAGTGCTGGGCTTGGTAGCCCTGCCAAGGGTCACGGTGAATCTCAGTCAAGGGACAGCCGGGCTGTGAACCGTGGTGGTCCTGCCCAGCCCACCCTGCTGAGCTGTCCTTCCCAGACACAGCTCCCTTCCGTGGGTCCCCAGTTCTGCTCACTAAGCCCTCACCTGGCCCAGGGAGAAGCAAGCTGAGCTCCTGGGCCCTGTGCTCCTTAGGCAACATGCCGACCAGCCCCTCACTTAGCAGGGTGCAGCAGAACCACACTCACAGGGTTGTCTTAGTTTTCAAGATTAGGTAAAGTAGTACAGCAATAAAATACACTGTGCAGCACCCAGCAGCACAGTACGTGCCCAGGGAACAGTGCAGCCCCTTGCCCTTCTCCCTCCATGGCGACTTTCAGACGTGCAGGGATTTTTAATATTCTACCCCAAGGTCCCACATGCAGTGGGGAAAGCAGCTGTATACTGCAGAAAACCACAGGGATTGTGTGACAGCCACACTGGCAAACCAAGCCTGGTGTGCATGCTCACAATCCCAACACTCGGGAGGCTGAGGCAGGAGGATTTCCATGAGTTTGAGGTTATCCTGGGCTACATAAGCAAGTTCAAGGCCAGCCTGTATTACATAGTGAGACCCTGTCTCAAAAAAACAAAAAATTAAAATATAATACAATACAATAAAGACAAGCCACATGTGATGACACATGCCCGCAATCCCAGCATGCTTTGAGGCTGAGGCTGGAGGATGATCACAAGTCTGAGCCCAGCCTGAGGAAGTTAGCAACTTAGTGAGATCCTCTGTCAATATAAAAAATTCTAAAACGTGCTAGCTCAGTAGAAAGGCCCTGGATTCAGTCCTTAGTGCCACACAAAACTGAATCAGCTAATGTCCAGGCCCCACTGAGGACGGAGCCCTGCTGCTGCGGCCAGAAGTGGGGAGTGACTAGGACCCTGGCTGACTGTCACCTCTCCCACCAGGGGGATGAGAGGATGCATTTGCCCAGCCCTACAGACTCCAATTTCTACCGTGCCCTGATGGACGAGGAGGACATGGAGGACGTCGTGGACGCGGACGAGTACCTCATTCCGCAGCAGGGCTTCTTCAGCAGCCCCTCCACCTCCCGGACCCCCCTCCTGAGCTCCCTGGTACAAACTCCTTCCTCCCTCTCCCCCGCTCCCCCGTTTCAAACACATGGAGGTGTGGGAAGACGGCAACCGAGATCTAGTGAAACTCTCACAGTGACAAAGAAGTAAATTCTAACCGAATGGTAAAGCCAAATTGAAATCAGTCAAGTGCAGACACTGGTTACCCTGTGCACCACACCTTCTGGTTGTAACCCTGATCTGCTCAGGAGCCCTGTGAGATCAGCCAAGCCGCCTTCCTGCGAAGTGAGGGAGAATCGGGCACCTTCAAGTCCTCCCGCCCCTGAGCCCCTTCCGCCGTGTCTGGGAGGCGCGGGGTCCCCAGTGCCCCTCACAGCGTCTCTGCTTCTCTTTCAGAGTGCGAACAGCAACAATTCCACTGGGGCTTGTGTACCTCGGAACGGGGTAGGTAACACGCTTCACAAAGCAGGGCTACGCAGCAGCTCCGTACCCCGTGCAGCCCTGTTATGCGTGGAAACACCTCCCAACCCAAACACCCCTGACTCTTGTTCCTGCTTCCTTTCCCTCCGGCGTGGTTTCCTTCCCCTGTGCCCTACAGTCATGCTGCCTTTCACAGTGCGGCTCCTGGGCCACAGAACAGTGTCCACGTCACTGGCCAGTTTGTTAGAAATGTAGATTCTCAGCCAGGCATGGTGGTGCACACCTGTAAGTCCCGGCACCCTGGGAAGCTGAGGCAGGAGGATCACAAGTTCAAGCCAAGCTTGAGCAACTTAATGAGGCCCTTTCTCAAAATAAAAAAACACAAAAGGGCTGAGAGTATAGCTCACTGCCAGGCCCTGGGTTTGACCCCAGTACCACAGAAAAAGAGCAGTGTAGATCCTCAGGCCACCAACCAGCCCACTGAACCAGGGTGTGGAGGAGCCGGTAGCAGTAGTTCTGGTGATGCTGGGCATGGAACGGTTGACGCGCACGTGACTCGTACATTTAGAGTTAACTGACCAAGATGAGGCAGGGTGCACACTGGGCCCTCATTTGTGTGAAGTGTGCGTGGCTGTCTGGGCACTTCCGCAGCAGGGCACCTCCAGCGCCAGGGGCTCCTGCAGACCCTGTGTGCACCGGTGACCCGGCACCACGTGTGGCAGCCCCCACCCCCAGGCCCACCCAGCCCCAGCCTGCGTCTCCAGCAGTTGCAGTCCCCAGTGAGGTGAGGGACGGCACCAGAGTCACCTTGCCTGCCCCCCTCCGCCCCCCACAGAGCTGCCCTGTCAGGGGCGACGGCTTCCTGCAGCGCTACAGCTCAGACCCGACCGGTGCCCTGGCTGAGGACAGCCTGGATGACGCCTTCCTCCCCGCGCCCGGTGAGTGCTGGCCTGGGAAACCCTCACGCCTCAGCCTGCTTCCCTGGGCCGTGGTGGGACTGGGCAGACTCCAGGCCCGGTGGGGGAGAAGGGGCTAAATCCGAAAAGTGCAGCACACAGGCCTGGGTGAGGACTCCGGCTGCAGGGTTGTTTGCTGTGGGTTTGTTCTAGAAATGGATCCACAGGTTTTCTGGAGTTTGGCAAACAACAAAGACAAACACATATGTATGCATGTTCCTGCACATACACCATGTGTGAATGTGTTTGGGGGGGGATTGGCGGTGTGCACATGTGACAGACATTCATGTCCTCCACCTGGCTCTGTGCTTGGCCTGTGAAATGTCTGTCTTCCTAATCTAAACTTTAGCTCCAGACACTTCCAAACTGTGCACATGTGCTTCTGCACACACGTGTGTGACGCACAGAGGCAAGCTGTCCTCTGAGAACTTGAAGTGTACAAGGGTACAAGTGCTGCTGGCTTCAGAAAGAGCACAGATGTGCACAGAGCACTCTGCAGTCGTCCTCGAGGCTCCTGTGCCTTGTGGAAGACGCTCATGGGTCCACCGTGACCCCAGAACCGTGCCCTGGCATCTCGGGGTAATGCTCCGCAGCTGACTTGCCCCGTCCTCTTTTCAATTTCAGAATACATAAACCAGTCCTGCCCCAAAAGGCCTGCGGGCTCTGTGCAGAACCCCATCTATCACAATCAGCCCCTGCACCCCGCTCCCGGCCAAGACCCGCACTACCAAAACCCCCACAGCCACGCCGTGGGCAACCCTGAGTATCTCAACACCACGCGGCCCGCCGGTGTCCACAGCACCTCTGACGGCCCCGCCCCCTGGACTCAGAAGGGCAACCACCAAATTAGCCTGGACAACCCCGACTACCAGCAGGACTTCTTCCCCAAGGAAGCCAAGCCCAATGGCATTTTTAAGGGGCCCACAGCTGAGAACGCGGAATACCTTCGGGTAGCGCCCCCAAGCAGCGAGTTCATCGGCGCGTGACATTGGAGCACAGCCTCCTCCGCAGCCCAGGACCAAGCCTCGGCCGCTGCCCCACCCGAGCCACACCCTGCCCCGCGAAGATGCTGACCAGGAGTGGCTCACGGGCAGCGGCCCTTGGCCCCCTCAGCCGGGAAGTGCTCCGCCTCAGATGTCCTGGGGCGGCTGCAGGTACATTCCCCAGTCTCCAAACTGTGAAGTTCCACAAAACGCATGGGCAAGAAAGTTTGAGCGGAAGTTTACCTTTTGTTGAGGTACATTAGAAAAACAGTAAAGATACGTAGGAGTGTTACCATTGGGAATCCGGGATTCTGGTCGCGGCGCCTGAGTTTGAGTGGATGGGGCCGTCCAAGGAGGAAGTCCGTGCACTTGCTACCCAAGTCAGCCCAGGCCCAGCAGCAACAAGGGGCATGGGCCACAGTCTTCCGGCCACCACTGTGTTCCACCGCTCCGCTCCAGATGGTCTGGGAAGGCAAGTGTGCTCAGGAGCCCTGCATGTCCTCCGCAGGCCTGCTCCGGGCCGACTCACACCATGGCAGGTACATAGGATAAGCCACTCAGTTCCTTCGTGGGAGAAGCGGCCCTGAGGGGCAGGGCTCTCCCTCAGACTCACTTTTGTATAAATGTCTCCCTGGTATGCCCCCTCCGTTCACCAGTTTTTTTTGATCGCGAGTATTAGCCTTATTTTCCATGCTGTGGTTTTGAAACTCACGTACTTTCCCTGTCTTGACATCATGACTTCGGCAGAAGCAGAAGGTACGTCCAACAATAGCTCAGATTCCATGTGCAAACCATCAGTGTTCAGACCAGTCGTCTACAATTAAGACAAAGAAATTGCAAGCGTTCACGGAAGAACACAAGAGTCAGATTTCTTTCTTTTTTGGCGGTACCAGGAACTGAATCCAGCACTCTCCCCGGGCTGCATCCCCAGGGCCGTTTTTTTGTTTAATTTGAGACAGGGTCTTGATAAGAGCCCAGGCTGGGCTGGAACTCGAAGTTCTCCTGCCTCAGCATCCCAGAGCACTGAGATTACAAGTGTGCACCACAACACCCAAATTTAGTCTCAGATGAAAATTTTCAAGTCCTTTGGGCGAGTTTCATGAGATTACAAAACAGTGCTCTGAAAGCTCACTTTGCCTACACTCTTCACAACTCATGGAATCTTTTCATTTTCCCTTAAAATATTTTGCTGGAAGGGTGCACATTCCTCCTTGGCAACAGTTCCAGGTCCCCTCTGTGCCCTCGGTGAGAGAGTGTCGACGCCCAAGGCCACGGGCCAAGAACTGACAGCCTCGGCGGGCGCGCTGGTGTCCGGCAGGCAGCCTGAGGTGGGAGGTCGCAAGGCTGTTGGGAAGTTAGACCTGAAGTGGATGGCAGTGTTCTCACGTGTCTGTAGATGTTTGAAGGGGAAATCCTCCTAACACAACTTCCCTATCATTGGCAGACTCGCAAGTCAGGCTCTCTCATCCTTGCGACCTGAGTGTCAACAGTATTTCACGCTCAGTCAACATCCACCCCTTCCACTTTTCCAAGGAAGAGATCCCTGATTTTGAGAAGTTCACAGTGTAACAGAGGAAATGGGTCCTAACCCTAACCCTAACCACTAACCGTAGAACACTAGGACGGACTCGAGACCAGCGCAGCAGCCAGGCCCCGAGAGACACAGCAGGGAGGGTGAGTTCTGCCAGGGGAGACCTGAGGCTCGGAGAGGAGCAGGCCCTGGGCCCCAGGACGTGGCGAGTGCAATCCCAGCAGCAGGGACCCTGGCCCCTGTTGCAAGCAGATTGTCCGGAGCCCCTGCTTCCTAAGGACCACCTCCCCGTGGGAATTAATTTCAGCTCTCATCCTGAAAAGTGCTTAGTGAGGAGGCTGAACACCGATTCTCAAATCTGAGATTTCACATCTGTCCATAAAACCCTTTCTTTATCAGTCCACTCCAGAAGGTAGAGAAAACCTTAGTCAGAGTCTGCACAGCGCTGGGAAGCAGAAGGACTCAAATTCTTCTCTCACTACTCTCAAGAAGCGCAGAGGAGGGGAGTTAATCACAAGCCAGCCCCGCTGTGGCCGAGAAGCCCTAGTATTTTTGTACTTTGAAATGCTCTCCTACAACATAATAAAGTAGTGAAGACTGTTCCAGCTTGCTTTTCCTCTCCTTTCTATTTCAGTCTTCCCACATAAAACTCCATTGCCGTTAATTTTGAGATCGTGTTTTCCCAGCTCTCCCCTGTGCTGTCTCCAAGGTGTGGCTGTGAGGCTGCGGAGCCCAGGGCTCCTCCAGGGGCCAGAGCCCCCATGCCTGCCCGTCGCAGCCCCGACTCTGCCCTGCCACCCTTACTTGGAAACAGCCAGTGCCCACTGCCCTCGAGAGTGTCAGCTGTCACCTGTTCCTACGTCGGTTCCCGGAAGAAGTCAGTTCACATCCCCACTTCAGGTCTGCTGTCTGGGAAAGTCAGGAGCGAGCGTTCATGCTGGACTGGCTCACATCCTCTCTAAGGAGTCTCTATCATTATACCCAAGAAAAGTACTTAGCATCTCGTGGTTTAAAAGAGAGCTGGATCTTTTACACTCAAAGTCTGCTGGGGCCAGGTTGCCTCTGCTTCCTAAGTGAGAGCCCAGGAGGCGTCAACTGCACCCAGCTGATGGGACCAACGCCCCGACTTTCTGGAAGCTCTTGTTTTTCCGCCCCCACCCCATCCCAACTGCAGCCAGCTCTGGGCACCGGCTCTGGGCCAGGCTGCCTGGGGAGCGCCCTGCACCCAGCTGAGAGGATTCTGGGTGGGTTTTTCTCAGGCTCAACCTGGGCCAGGACTTCACAGAACACTCTGGATTATTCTGGCATGCTCCAAGTGTCCAGGGCCAAGGAGGAGGAGAGGCCCAGCTGCTGGCCCCACCCACGTCCTCTGAGCTAACCTCTGGGTGGGGCGAGGCCAGCACCCCGTCTGCTGCACAGAAGAACCCAGGAGCCTGAAAGTGGGGTCAGAGTCCTGCAGAGCAACGCAGTCAGCAGCCTGGGTCTCATCCTGAACAGGCCCAGTATGCATCCAGAACCAGTTCCGACAGGAGTCTGTGGAGTCCAAGTCCACACTGGGCCCAAGTCCGCAGAGATTCCTGGAGGCTGTGCAGGCCCATAGCCTGAGACTGGCCCTGCTGTCCTTCCAGAGCCTGTGCTCCTCATCTCCAGCCATCCACTCTGAAAATGGCAAATGTCCAAATCTGAGCCTGGAGAAGGCCTGGGGCCCTGCATGTTCTAAGAAGAGAGTTGTAAAAGCTGGTCTCACCCTCGCCCCGCTGAAGGAGCTGCCCCCACTTCATCTCCCCTGTGCATTTCTTTCTCCTGATAAGCATACATGTTTATTATAACAGCGATCTGTTATAGTTCCCTGCGTGGGGCTATAAAACCCTAACTGAAGAAATCCCTGCCCTTTTCCCAGCCACGCCTGCCTTAGTCCTTGGGCAAACATCTTTGTACTGTTAAAGACACATTCAGACAGGATTTTTAAATGCAGATCTATTTTTGTAACTTTTTGCAGGTTATTGTCCTTTTTATGTAGCACTGAACTTTGTAAAGTATATTTTTAGAAAACTCATTTTTCTACTAAGGGAAACAGTTTACTTTAGAAAGGCTGCAATAGAAGTAAAATTTGAAATTGAAATCTTTGCTTACAAAGGTTAAATTGAAGCAGCAGAGGTCTCCTCTCTTAGGGAAAGGTATAACCTCATTGCAGAGCTATGCTAGGTCACTGCCATGTGAACAGAAGAATTTGTAAAAGTAGCAAAGAGGAAAGAGGAAGAGGAAAAAGAGGAAGCAAAGAGGAAGTAGCACCCTGGCTTAGCGTTGGTCCAAGGCAGGTTCAGCTGTCAGTCTGGGACAGTGTTAGTGCAAAGGGGTTGCTATAAGAAGAAGAATCCAAACGCATGCTGTCCTCTGATCCTTTGACTACACAGCCTCGTAAGTACAAGAAAAGCAATAATAGAGCACTTTGTTGGTGTAGCTATACTAATCAGATTTAATGCAAATTCTTTTGTTTTATTTTTATGTGTAAAGTTTGTATTCCTTGAGCAGTACGAACTAGACATATCCAGAGAGCCATAATAATGCAGGGCATGCATGCCCTGCTCGGCACACTCCTGACACCCAGCCCAAGCCGACTGCCTGGAGAACAGGCTCTGAGCTGGCCGCTCCTCAGTCGCCCGGGAGCTGTACCTGAGACCAACTACATGCAAAGCCCTCAGCGATGAAGCCAGGCCTCTGCGCTCAGTAAAGCTCCCAAGGCCACTGTAGTGCTCAGCCGACGCTGAGACCCACCAGTCCGGGCAGCCAGGGTCCCTGCCGAGAGGGTGACTCCCAGACCCAAGATGTCTGCCACAAAGACGTCTGCACCCTCCCTGGGCATCAGGAACCTGGACAGAGCTCCCAAGACAGCTGCCCAAGCACAACAGGAAACCTGACTCCCCACAGATGGAAGGCGGAGGAAGCCCGAGACAGACACCTATGGGCATTTCCTAGGCTCACTTTCCACTAAAGGTGCACCGGCAGTGAGATAAAGCCAGTGGGTATTCCTGCTGCCAGGACAACCCACATTGCTGCTTTTCCTCTAGCAGCCAGGTAACCTTTATTCCCCAGGCAGAAAGAAAACCTCCATCTGTCAGTTAGGAAGGGCAGACTTCAAAGATTGATAAATTGTTGTGTGACTTTCGTAGAACAAGAATCTTCTGGTGTTGAGAAACATTTTTGATACTTTGGGCATAAACTACACCTGGGATAAAAACAGAAGCCACTAACTGAGTTTTTCTTCCACATGCACATGCAAGCCCTCTGAGCTCAAAGCTTGTCTTGCCTGAGTCACTAGGGGTCCCTACTCCTCACACTGCAGACAAAATACAAGAGAAAACTTAAACACAAATGTTTTTAAAGTCATTTACTTATTTTTTTAAAAAAAAACCTCTACTGACCTGATTTGAATACAAAGTAATCTTGCAGTATAATATAATCTCTTGCAAATAAAGAGATCATATGGGTCTGATGGCCGCTATTAGAGATGACCTTGTGAATGATTAACACCGGGCAGCAGTAACTGTACTGTAGGAATATTCAAGCAATAGCTTCGTAGCTTCTTGATGTAGTGCATTTTAACCTTATAAAGTTTTGCAATGATGAATGCGGTATTTGTACAAATGGAAAGCAAGATTCTCTTTTATATGGTTTATACTGTTGATCAGAACATGTTGACTGTATATTGAGTATTAAAAATTAGATGTATATTATTCATTGTTCTCTATTCCTAGGTACCTTACAATAATATTGTACTCTTTGTTAACAATACAGTGTTGATTCTAATTCTTATTCTTATCTGACTGCAGACACTCTTAATAACACTTTTCTTACTTATTTACTGTGGTCCTCGAGAATGGACCTGTGGGCCTCACACTGAGCTGCATCCTTAGCTCCTTGCTAAGCTACTAAGTTGCCTCAGCTGGGTTTGAAGTTGAGCTCTTCCTACCTCGGCCTCAGAGGGTACTGGGATTACAGGCATGAGCTACCATGCCCAGGTCTTATTTATTTATTTTCCCGGTGCTGAGGGTCAAACCCAGGGCCTCAGACACACACACTAGGCAAGTGCTCTACCACAAAGCCACACCTGCATCCCCCACTGGAACTAATTAATAAGCTTCGCTTTCAGAGCTTTAGGGTCACAGCAAAACTGAGCAGATTGTCCAAGGACCCCCTGCATCCCTCCTGGTCCCTACCACACCCAAACACAGCCCCCACTGTCACCATCCTGACCACAGGAGCAGGTCACCTTCTGAGGAACAATGGGCCAGAACTGTGGTATCGCTGGGTCCTTTCGGAAATCAGGCACTTTCCAGCCATGGCTCAACGGGCCCCATGCAGGTGCCAGGCTCCCTGCCCCTCTGGGGCCTCTCCATGCCCCTTCCTGGGCAAGAGTAATTACAGCTGCACTCTGGGAGGCTTAGGCAGGAAGATCACCAGTTTGAGCCCAGCCTGGGCAACTTAGGAAGACACTGTCTCAAAATTAAAATTCTATCGCTTCTCAGCCTTTTGGCTAAGATCAACTGTAAAATTAAAATTCTAAACAAAAGACTGAGGGCATAGCTCAGTGTGCAGACCCTGCACTGAATCCTCGGGACCCCAAAAACAACAACAAAGAGTATTTCTAGTTATCTGGGAAAAGGTTTCCCAAGGAGGGGGCACCTCAGAAAGAGAACGGAACGCCCTTCCTCAGGTCGGACTGGGCACCTCCCTGGGAACAAGCCCAGTTCCTCCAGGTCTCCCCAAAGCTCTGAGAGCACCACGGTTCTGCTCCAGCCCACCCTCTGCTCTCACCAGTGCCTGGGAGTCTGGGAGACCCCAGGAGCCTGGCAGACCAGGGCCCCAGCCCTGCCAGGTCCTCCGCTCTCCTGGCTGCTGTCAGGAAGCCAGGCCCTGAGCACTATGGGAAGCCAACGAGTACACTTGACCACACCTGAAAGCCAGCCCCACCAAGCCACCTGCCAACTCTGCACTCCGAGGACAGCTGGGCCACAGGCCTCAGTTCTGAAGGGGGCTCAGCCTGGACAGCAAAAGCACAGCCCTCCTGGGGCCCAAGGGTCCCAGCCTGGCAAGGACGCCCAGGTCCTGCCTCCCAGCATGCAGCAGAGGCAGCCCTGAGTGGAGGGCTCCATCTTCCCCCTGCCCATCTCAGGGGAGGGGGGTGGTGATGGGCTCTTCCACCCAGCATGCCCCTTGGCTGGGAACAAAAGGGCCCTGGCCCAGCTAACAGGGTCTGTCTTCTTAGCAGAAACGGGGCCCACGCTCCCAAGGCTGAGGGCCAGCAGGTGCCCTGAGTGCACCAGCCCTTCTTTCTTCAAGCCAGTGATCCCGTTTTAAACACCAGTGACGTGGCATGGCGTGTCGGTACGTGCCTGGAGTGGCAGCACTCCGGGAGGCTGAGGCAGGAGGTTTACAAGTTCGAACTCAGCCTAGGTTACTTAGTGACACAGTGAGATCCTGTTTCAAAATTTAAAAATAAGTAGAAAGGGCTGGGGATGTAGCTCAGGGCAAAGGCCCTGGCTTCAGTCCCCAGTACTGAAAAAAAAAAATCTCAGAACCTCCAGTGCTATTGCTCTGGTGGAAGTAGAGGTTGGAGGAGGGAGAACCAGCCCACCTTCTCCTCCAGAGGGGGCAAGAGAGCCCCGCGTCTCGTCATCCCACTCCGGCAGGGCTCTCCCCTCCAGTCCCCCTCCGCTGTACTCATCTTTCCGGAGACCTGGGGGAAGGCTGACGAAGGACCTGCAGTTAGGACACGGCTCCTCACACGCTCAGAGCAGAGGGACATGGCCAAGGAGGTGTTCACACTGAGAGAGGTGCACAGTGTGTGATAAGACGCAGCTGCATCCCCGTTAAAATCTCTTCAAAACCCGCAACAGGTGGTAGTGCCTTAATGAGACAAACGCATCCACCCAAAGGCTAATAAGAAGCAGCAGACTTAAGGCTGAGATGGCAAAGCAGGAACAAGGGAAAGTTTGCTGTCATCACCCCTATTGTTCCACACATTTCTGAACCTGTCTGGAGACCAGTGTGTGTGTCAGCACGAATACCCAGCATAAATCCACCTCCATGGGAGAAACTTCTCCACCTCACAGTTTTGGAGGCTGCAGTCCATGGTGGCCCGGCCCTTTCCTCTGGGGCAAAGCAGCTTGTCACTGCTGAAGTTAGAGGCAGAGCAAAACCACTCACCTCAGGCAGGAGGCAGACACAGAAGAGGCCACCATCCCTCCAGGCAGAGCGGCCCAGACCCCAGGACCTGCCACTGGGCCCCCAGGGTTCAGCCTGCTCCCAGCAGCGCCAGCCAGGGGCCAGCAATGGAACCTTCGGAGGACACTGGCTCTACTGCAGCAGAGGACAGGTGCATTGTTTAAATGGGATCCATTTTCACCTTAGAACACAGTCAGGGCAGCTACACCCCTCGCCCAAGGGCTGGACTCAGGCAGCCGCCAGCCCGGTGCTGAAGTTTTGTCGCACACAGCCTCAGTCCGCACCTCTTGGCCTACTGCATTTGCACTGCCAGCAGAGGGGAGCAATGGAGCAGAGACCCTGGGGTCTGGAACACTGAGATGTTCCCTACCTGGCCCCTTATGAACAAAGCTTGCCAACCCAAACCAACTGGCCAGGAAAAATTACAATACATAAGAATATCAGCAGGGTGAGCACATGTAAATGGGACAGAGAACTTTCCTACTTACCCTCAGCCATGAATGAAACAAGGTAATGAATGCCATCTAAAATAGCCATGAGAATGACGAAATTGGTGGAAATAAATATGCAAGGACAATACGGAAACAAAAACTATAAAACTTTGTTGAAGTATAAAAGAAGACTTTAAGATATGTTATATTCGTGGATATGAGGACATTATGAATATGCCAATTCTCCCTCGGTATTGCATAAGTTCAGTGTTATGCAAATGAAAATTTCAGTGGCTATTTTGGGAAACGGGTTTTAAAACTTGGAATCTAGAACAGAAAATGTACCACAGTAGCCAGCAACATTTGGAAAACAATTGAGTAGTGACAGCAATGGCATAAAAAACACCCTAAAACTATAATAATTAAAGCTGTGCAATGCCAATGTAATCACAGAAATAATGAATGGAAAAATTTAGAAATTTGGAAAAAGATATGTGTACATGGGAATGTAGTGTGTGACAAAAATAATATTTCCAGATGGTGAGGGAGAGAAAGACTATCCAATAAATGGTTTTGGAGAAAGCTTTCATACGATTGAAAGAGAAGTCTGTTTTATACTTTATTCAAAAACAAACTCCAGATGGACCAAAGATCTAAACATAAAAACAAATTGAAAACAAAGTATTAGATAGAATGTGTGAATATTATTATTCTTAGGATGGGAAGATGACCCAAATGCCTAGCACAACTCCGGGGGCATAAAGAAAACTACAACATGGCCACCCAGTTTTGTTTTGTTTCATTTTGTTTCAGTTTTTAAAGAAAAAAATAACTCAGTAGAAAAGTTAAAATAATATGAGAAAATGTTTGCATTACACCAATAATTAATGTCCAAAAGGGTGAAGAATTTTAGTGAATCCATAATAAAAGTTTAAGCAGCACTGAAACTTTGACAGGCTATAAATGGACGATTCATGGGAAAAATGCAAATGGCTGGAGACACTTGAACTTTACACTTATGGATATGTAGCCAACCTCAGTAACAACGAGGAGGATGCACCCAAAACAGAGTGATAATCCTGGCCACACATTTTGATGAGAATACCGATGGCTATGAACATTTTGGAGGACAACTAAAATTTTCATGTATGTATATCCCCCCTCCCTTTTTTCTCCAGTACTGGGGACTGAACCCAGGGCCTTCAGCTGAGCTACATCCTGAAACTTTCTTTCTTTCTTTCTTTCTTTCTTTCTTTCTTTCTTTCTTTCTTTCTTTCATCTTCCTGTCTTTCTTTTGAGAAAAGTTCTCTCTAAACTCCCCAGACTGAGCTTGAATTTGTCATCCCGCCTCAGCCTCCCAAACTGCATGGATTATAGATGTTTCTCACCATGCAAGCTGTGTTTATCCTCTGATATGACAATTACACTTACAGAAATAAAGTCTACTAAAACATTCAAGCAACTATACAAAGAGATAAACGAGAACAGTTAGTAGAATTGTATAAATACTACAGGAAGGACTATTTGTAATGGAGAAAAAGGGAAAGTTTTAATGTTCATCAAAAGAGATTATTAAATCATGCCTGGCTTAGTTACCTTTCTCATTGCTGAGTCAACATACCTCCCAAAGTTAAAGGAGGGAAGGTTTATTTAGCTCAGAGTCTGTGGAGGTTTCAGCCCAAACTCAGCTGGCTCCAAGGCAGAGTGGCACATGGCAGAGGGCAAGAGTTTGTGTCAGCAAAAGCACTAAGCACAGAGATAAAGACAAGCTTCTTTCTGCCTCTTATATTGTATGCAGTCTACTGGTGTTAGGTTGGTCCCAGTCCAATCAGTGGGCTGATCCAGCAATCACCCACCCTTAATCCCAGCGCACTTAATCGTAGCAACGAACCATGAGTCAGTCACAAACTCTAGATTCAGTTACCTCCAAAAAGCCCCACCTAAAACTGCATGAGGCTTTGGGGGGACATCTAGACACAAGCCTCACTGTATGTAAGTCTGTACAGTATTAGATAGATTGGATAAATACGTATGCAATAGACCCATCCCCACACTAGAGTAGAGTGTGTGTGTGTGTGTGTGTGTGTGTGTGTGTTGCTTTGTTTTCTGGTGCTGGGGGTTGAATCCAGAGCTTGTGCACCTTGAGCAGAGTAGGCCTGTTCTGGGGGTGTCAGGGATGTGAAGCCAGGCATAGATCACGAAGCCCCTCTGCACTCAGAGTGTAGGTGCCACCTTGCTTGCCCCGACAAAGGGTGTGGTCAGTGTGGCTTCTGTGGGTCTGACTCACTTCTGGGGTGGCCTCTTCTATGCCCCACTCTTTCTGCTCCTGGCCTCTCTGTGCTCAGGTTGGGGGACAGGGCAGTGAGTGCAGGTGTTCCACTGTCTCTCTTTATGGGGACCCTTACCCTGTTCAGGGTCCCCACCCGTGACCTCACTTAGTACTTCACAGAGGCCCCGTCACCTCATCACTGGTGCTGACGATTTCAACACGAACTCAGGAGACACATTCAGGTCACAACTAAGAGGCTTCTTTATGGTGCAGGAAACTAGGGAGAATTGGAGGACTTTAATAAAACGGATATGTCCTGCCGCATTATTTAATGAGACCCACATGTCACATGGAATTTCTGTTTTGATCTTGTTTTACTCATTGTAAAATACTCCTCCACGTCTTGGCTGTTACAGGTCAAAGTTTCCATACATCAGATTTTAAAATAGAAGAAGCAAAGCTGCAAAACACATTGGCTGCAGGCACCTGCAACCTTGAGTTCTGGAATGGGTTTTCAAACTGAGTTGGAGCAAGAGGATGTTTAGGGAGAATAAAGAGCGGTCACATTATTATTTCCTACAAGGCTTCACTTTCTCCAGGAAGCCTAGCTGACAAAGGCTTGCTGGCATCTCAGATGACTCCAACCCTCAGCCACCTTATGAACTAATACGTCCATAAAGTTCTAATCGGAGGGGTATAAGGGTCAACCCAAGGAGTCATAAAAATTGATAATATGTATTGATTTCTTAAATGCAGAGCAGACACTAAGGAGTGAAGCGCTAAGACACCCCGGAGTAACTGAGGTGGAAACAGTTTCACTGTTACTTTGGACACATTGTTACAGAGCTCCGCATCAGGCTCATCTTTAAACAGTCCTTCCTGTGATCCAGCTGGAGAAACAGCTACCAGTTGATACCTCACTACTACTCTGGACACAGTGTTACAAACCCCCCACCACAGTGGTTCATGTTTTTTAAAACATCACTGCTCCAAAGTCCACATAACTGGGATTTTTCCAGGGGAGCAACTACCATCTTGCCTGGGTTCCAAACACAGATTGAAATCACTCAGCTCTAGGGTAGGAAGACCCCCAGCCTCACTGACAGTTGCAGACCCGCAAAGTATCAAAGCGGCATGCAGTGGGGTCCTGGCTCCCTGTCACAGATGCTTATTGACGGACTGTGCAGAGCTCTGTGCTCCACCCTGGGTAACTAGTCAGGCCCCAGGTTCCAAGCAGGCAAGCTCTTCTTTCTCCGCCTCAGGCCCCAGGTTCCAAGCAGGCAAGCTCTTCTTTCTCCGCCTCCCTCCCTCCTTCCCTCCCTCTCTCTTTCTCTTCCTCTCTTTCTCGCATAGTCTCACCAGGAAGCTCTCCAGGGGCCTGTTAAGGACACTGGTGCTCTCATTTTCTGGAGGAGGAGTCAGGCAACTGGGGCAGCCAAGCAAAGCCACGTGTACAAAGCCAGCAGAAGGAGTAGCTCTTTCCACATTAAAGACTAAGTGAAAAAACCAACATGCAATCCGAGACATTATCCTCCAGTAAAGAAAGTACAGACCAAACATGGAAGACACAGGAACAACCCACACTGGAAAAATAACAATATCTTCCTGGTGACATTCTGGAAAAGTCGAACTATGGGGCCAGTTAAAAGAGTGGCGGTTGCCTGGGGCTGGAAGAGAGAGGAGGAAAGGGCAGAACAGGATCTGAGGGCAGGAAAGTAATCTGGATGCCACGGACGGCATGAGCTTGTCCTCGCATCTGCCCTAGCCCATAGCACAAGCTGTACCAGAGTGAGCCCCTGTGAGCTGCGGGCCCAGGAGATGACGACACTCAGACCTGGTCCATGCTATGTGACAAATACCCACCCCGCAGGGAAGTCCTAATGAGGACAGCTGCTGAGCAGGCCAGGGCCTATCTGAGGGATTTCTGTGCTTCCCTTTTAATTTTATTGTGAATCTAAAGACCCTCCATCGTGGTTTGCATCTAACACGGCCTCTGAAGCCTCGAGTGTTTGGATCTCGGGGCTCACAGCCAACTTGCTGTTGGGAGCTGGGCTCTGGGTGGGGTGTGGCCTGGAAGGGTGCAGCTCCTTCCCCTTCCTCCATCCCTTTTCTCTCCGTGGTGTGAGCAGCTCTCCTCTGCCAGACCCTTCCTTCCACCATGCTGCTCTGCCTGCAGCCCACAGGAGCCAAAGTAACTGCTACTCCTTAGGTTGTGGGGTCCGCCCTGTCTCAGCAATGAGCAGGGTAGCTATGGAACACTCTTTAAAAAGCCTTGTTCAGAAGTGTCCACCTCCTCTCTCCCCAGCTTCTAGTCTTTCCTTTCCAGTCCAAACCGTGTGGAGGACGAACAGCATTACCTTCCAGCCCATTCACAAGTGGCAATATTTGACGTTCCAAAACTAGCTGTAAGCATCCATTTGTTCCTTTCTGAATTTTCTGCAGTACTCTGGAAGTGAGCTAGACCAAAACTGTGTCTAGATCTCACCACTGGGAAGTTCTCACCCATTCATTCATTCATTCAACTGATAGTACTGAGCGCCTCCAGGTGCCAGGAACTGACACTGCGCGGGACCCTTCCCCGAGGAGACCACGGCTCAGTTCCCACATCCTCCTCTGTCCTTTGATCATTCACGTGGTTTTTCAAAATCAGAGTGTGAAGTCATCAGGAGCTCCCAGGATGGCCATCTCCTCATTTAGAAGGTGCTGCCCTTTTTCTCAGGGATGCATTTACTCATTTTGAGAACGTCTAAACCTCAGTGAGTTTTCTTTCTTCATGTGAAGAGAACCCCACCACCCATCTCTTCACCGCAGTCCTCTGCCGTCCCTCACTGGACCTCTCGATTGGCCCTGTTACTGCAGCTAACCCCAGCCTGGGGTCCACTGGGGGGTGCGGTTTATCTGAACCCCACACCCCACCTCAGCTCTCATCTCCTTGAACTCCTGCACAGCCCAGGGGGCGACACCGAGCTCCCTGCTGTGACCTCTCCCCATGCGTCTGCCCTTGGTTGACAGGGCTGTTCCCATCTTCCTTCTGAGCCCACCAGGCAGCATCAGGTCCACCTTCTCAGGACCCGCACCGCTGGGGGTGCTGCATGCTCCCTCCCAGAGCTCCCGTAGCTCACTGGGCCTCCTCAGACCTCGTTAATACTGGAAGTCTCATCATGCGGGCTTGCCCTGTGACAGGACTCCTCAGAGTTGGGGATGAGCTGCGCTGGTCTGTACTTCTCTGGTGCCTGGCAGAGCAGCTGGTACCTAGTAAGTGCTCGGTGAGGGCCCGAGGGACTTTCTCCTTTGCTGTGAAATCAGTGTCTCAGTGGCTGGAGAGGGGACT